CGGTCCGCAATTTGGGGTGCCTGAGAGTCAACCACACATTGATGTTTCTTCTCTCCTTCTCTTTCTCCCTCCCTTCTCTCCTCTCTAAAAAATAAATAAATAAAATCTTAAAAAATAAAATATATATGCTATTTGCTACATTGAAAATATATGTACTATGTATGTAAAGTATGAAGCATAATAATAAAATGAAAACCAGTAGACCCACCACCAAATTTATGAACTAGAACATTACCAAAGCCACTGAAGCTAACCTGTATGTTCTTTTCCAATCTCATCACTGTTGCTGTCTCCAAAAAGGAAATAGTTAACTCCAAGAGGTAATCAGTACCCTGAATTTTCAATGAATGGTTCTTTTAGTTTTGAAAAAAATATAGTTTTACCATATAGGTATGTTACTTTAAACAATAGATTATTACATATGCCTGTTTTCTTATTTTTATAAAAATGGTATCATACAATATATAGACTTCTGACTTGCTTTTTTCACTCAACATCTTGTAACTGTAGTTTTTTCATTCCCTTTTTATATCATGCTCATTATGTAATTTTTTTTCCCTCCCCTCATTATGTAATTTCTAAAAAATATGTTTATCTATTCTCTTGTCAGACATTTCAGTAGTACTTTCTCCTTTATGAATAGTGGTGCCATGAACATTCCTTTTTTTAAAAAATTCTTTAACATGTAGGACACATGCAAAAATGTCTATAAAATTAGGAGTGAAATTGCTGGATCACAGGGAAAGCACATGCTTTATTTTTCTAGGTTATGTCAAAGTAGTTGTACTTCCACCAGCAATGCCTAAGTGTTCCTATTCTATATCCTTGTATTAACAGAATTAATTTTTATAATGAAATGGCCTTAATGTGACATCTCACTATGTATATAGCCTTTCTGTGATTACTAATGGAGGGGAGCATTTTTCATATTTGATTCATCATTTGTCCTGGTTAAACATAGCTCAGAATACTTCCTCCTGGAAGCCTTTCCTAATTTCCCTAGATCCACAGGCTAGACTAGGTGCTACTACCAATACATGTATATTTCTGTCATTATAGTTCAACAAACCCTCCATTTTTAAAGCTCCTTGAGTATCTCTTTTTTACAGCCTTAAAGCATAGTATAACTCATCATTTTATAAGGAAAATTGCCTATTAAAATTTTTTAAATTTTATTTTTAAAGATATGTAATCTTTATTATAAAGATTTCCATTACCATTACCATTTAGTCCCCTTATGCTCCCTTCCCCCCAGCAAACACCACCCTGTTGTCCATGTTCATGAGAAAATTGCCCATTTTTTATACTCAATTCAAACCGATTCAGAAAAAGGAATTTACTGAGAAGCCTAGAAGCATATCTGGCTTTAAAAATGGCTGAATCTGTGGTAGGCAGTTAGACAGACATCAGCAGAGCAAGGACAATGGGCCAGGTATAGAAGGTCACTAGGGAGGAAAGCCCCCATGGGCCTAGCAACAAGCAAAACTGGGAAAACCAGGAATCTAGCCTTCAGGCTTACCTTTCCTCCCCTAACACATTGCTGGTTGTGTGGTTTAGTTCCCCTGACCTTTCTTATTGCTGGTCATGTGACTGAGACCTTCTTTTCTCTCTTGGCACGTTGCTACTTATGCAGGTTAGACCCCCTCACTGGGGGAATAAACAAGGGCACCAGAGAAAAGCCCTTAAGCATTAAGCCCCCAGGACAGTGAGGTTCTGACGTGCAACAAGTACATCTGGGCCTCAGTTGTGTTTCAGTTCCAGGACCAGAAAAGCAGCAAAACCAGATAAGCAAAGCCATGGCTGACAGCAGGATCAGCTGCACTGACTAATGACCCTTTGCTCTGGCACCAGCCAATCAGTAGAAACCACAACCCTGAAAGGACACACTTGGAAAGCTGATAAATACTCTATTGGGATCCTCTCCTGAGACCCCCAGATAAATACCCTCAACATGGAGACCCAGTGGGGCTCTCTCTCTGGAGCACACTCCTGCGTTTCCCTACCCCCTGTCCCCTAGACACGTGTTTCTTGCCTCTTTTTCTCTTGAGTTCCAAGGCCCCTTCTTTTGCCTTTGTAATTTGTTTCCTGAGCCCATTTCTTCTACAGCTCACTTCTTCCACCTGTGACTTAAAAATATATATATTTCATTTATTTATGTATTTTTAGAGAGAAGGGAAGGGAGGGAGAAACGGAGAGATACATCATCAATTAGCTGCCTCTCACAGGCTCCCAACAGGGGACCTGGCATGTGCCCTAGGAACTGAACTAGCGACCTTACGGTTTGCAGGCTGGTGCTCCATCCACTGAGCTGCACCAGCCGGGCCCCACCTCTATGACCTTCTAAATAAACTTTATTTTATAGTTTGAGTCTTCACTCTGAATTCTTTTTAGCCAGTACTTAAGTACCTAGGTTGCTGAACTGAGGTCCAGTCTGACTCCGCCAGTCTAAAACCTGGTATGGTTTTCACAGTTGCCAAAAAATTCATGTTCTCAAATTATATTGTCAAAAATCTCTCACTTTCTCTTAATTGTGTATTCTTCTGTGATGGTTTTACTCTTATCCCCATTGGTTCCAAGCTTAACTCCTCCCATTTTTAAGTGAAAAAAGATAGCCTCCACCACTCCTGCGCTTTTCTTAGCATTATTCCTGATAAAACGAAGCAGCATAGCATAATGTTTGAGAGTTTGGACTCAGGAAACAGGCTGGCCCCATCACTTACTATTTGTATAAAGTTGGGCCAGGCTATATAACCTCTCCAAGACTTAGTTTACTACTTGGGTGGGTTACTGTGAGGATTAAAGTTGCTGATATTTGCACGATGTTTAAAATAGTGCCTGGTAGAATGTAAAGGCTAAATTACCAGGCTTTGATTGGGTTATAAAGACCATCCCTGTGTCCTAAGGGACCTATCTAGAGTTGGGACTTCCTATTCAAACTACGAATATCTGAAGTAGTGGAAGGATGATTTCTTTTAAGAAATCTGGAGTGCCATTACCAAAGATGGGAATAAATGTTAGGCCAACATAAACAACGAATGTATACCTCAGGAAAGTTAGCAAGCTGTTGTTTGAGATAACTTCTCTCTCTCATTAAGGTTTTATTTATTTTATTATTAAAAATATTTTTTCTTGTATTGATTCTAGAGGGAGAGGAAGGCAGGGAGAAAGATATGTGAGAGAGCAACATCAATCTGTCTCCTGCACACACGCAGACTAGGGAGTGAACCCGTAAGGCAGGCAAGTGCCCTGACCGAAGTGGAACCAGCAACCTTTCAGTTTGCAGAATGATGCCCAACCAACTGAGCCACACCAGCCAGGGATAGGTTTTATTTTATTTTACAAGTAACACGTGGATTCGTGTACAGTGTCTTTAACAATACAAAGGGATACAGAATAATCTGAGAGAATTTGTGTTGTATGCCTCTGGTGTGGAAAAGACACTAATTGCCCTTTTCATTTGCAAAAATAATTAGCATTTGACTAGCATTTTACTAAACGAAGTATTTTCACATACATTAGTTAATTTAGTTTTTGCAAAGTAGTTCTGTATTTTGCCATGTATAATGTGCAATTTTTTTGCCCAAATTTTTGAGGGAAAAATAAGGACACACATTTTACATGGGTAGTACTAATTCCGTATCTATATAAATGTCTTTAATTCTTTTATTTATGCTTATGCGTTGAAAGTGTGACTCTAGAAAGCATTAACAATATCTGTATGCAAAAAACTACCCTGGAATATGATCATCGGTTTTGTTTCTAAATATAAATAAATAAATAATTGAATTAAAAAATTAAAACGAAAGATATTTTTTCCTGAAAGTTTGGGCCAAAATGTGGGGTGCGCATTATACATGTCAAAATATGGTAGGTATTATTAGCACTCCTCAGTGGTAAGGAAACCTAGCAGAAATATAGATAAATGTACATTTTACAGATAGTAGTAATGATGTAGCCTTTCCCATTAGTTTCCCACTGGATTTTATCTTTTGTTGGTACTCATCCTGTGTAATCATTTCTTGTATTCAGCAAATATTTACTGAGCACCTGTTCTAGGCACTGAGGTTACAACGATGAACAAAATTTCTGCACCCCTTAAGTTTACATTCTAGTGGGGTAGGAGCAGATTACAAGATAAGAACAAATACAGAGTAAAGTAGATAGTGATTGATGCTATAGAGTAAAATTAAATAGGAAACACAGGAACTGTTTAGGTACACTTCCATTTTATATAGTGATCTTCAGACAGTAATAAAAATCTCACTCTCATTTATCATACTCCTAACACTTAGCCCAGCACCAGTCACTTATGGAGACAATAACTTCATGTTGAATAAATTATAAGCTTTCTGAGAAGGAAGCAGTTGGGGGGAAAAAGGCCTGTAAATAAATATTGTTCATTAAGTACCTGAATTGAATAATCTAATTCCCAATTAGCTTATTTCTATTAATCTAATTAGCAGGGATTTTAGCATGTTTGTATTACAGAATGAAAACTGTGTTAAGTGTTTTTAACAGGTCGGTTTAGGTATTTCAAACACTTAGCTATCTCTTAGGCCCTACTTGTGAGTGTAAGCTTTTGTCTGTGCTCTTCAAAACAAAAACCCACACGGCCAGTTCTCCTATCGAGTTGTTTTCTAGGAAAGATCAGACTTTGGGGTTCCTACTAAGGTGCTGGGTGGGGACCCAGTTATCAGTCCATTCACCCTCAAGTACTGATCTAATCCCCGAAACAAACTACAAAAAGTAAGACGCTCTAACCCGCGCGCAGCCCCCGGCCAGAACCTTGACCTCAAGATGGCGTCGCGTAGTCACAAGATTCAATCAGCTCCAATCAAAAATGGCAGGGTGGGTTGTAATTTACAGCTCGAGCCTTTCTAGTCCCCACTAGGCGCTCCTTCTCTATGGTTATTCGCCGGGGTGTGGTAATTGCAGGCCAACCGAGGAGGCTCTCTATATGCGTTCTTCTCTATGGTGCTCCTCTCCATTTCCCCGGGCCGCAGTGCACGCCGGGCAAGAGGAAGACCTCCAGAAGCTCCCCGCGCAGCGCGGCTGTGTTTGCGTTGCGGCCTGTGCGAGTAGTCGCTTTGGAACCAGGCTCTCGGCGTGCGGCACGCAGAAACCTCGAACCGCTGGATCCGTCTCGTAACCTGGATCTTAGAAGTCCTCGAACACAGTACCGTTTCCTCAGCGGCGGGTGAGTTCACGCCTATGAACGCTTGTGGAAACCGGGTACCTCGGCTGGGGGAGGAAGGAAAAGCTGGGGAGGCTCCGAAAGGGCCGGGGTGGGACTGGGGTAAAGAGGGGGGCCGGGTGGGGGAGGGGACGGGCACGAGGCTTGGGTTTCTTCATTTCTCTAAGGTCTCGAAAACCAGCGGGCCCAGTAGGAGCCCTTGGAGGCCGGACCTACTTACTGCTAGTGCTTTCTTTCTTGCATTGTCGCCCACTTTCCCTTTTCCTTTCACGGTCGGTCGCAGTGAATCCGGTCGGCTCCTTCTGGGATCCACGTATGCCACAAAACGATCGGTCTGCCTCTGAGGAGCCATTCTCGGAGGCCCCTTTCTAACCCGAGCCTGCGGAGCCCAATGGTAGACTTTCCGGGCCTAGAACTCACTTGGCCTAGGCTTTGCGTAGAAGACAGCCAGCATTCACCACCCTTTTTAGAGAGGTGCTGGCCACCAGCGGATGTCTTTCCCTTCCTCTTTGGTCATTTAGAGCCTGCCCCTGAGTGAACCGCCGCCCCTCTCCGCGCCCCCAAATTTAGCTAATGCGCACCTTGTTTAGCACCCTCCTGGTTTGCTTCTGTAAGATTGTGATGAGTATTGCGCTCATGCCTCCTTCCTCCGTTGGAGGTTGCAGTAAACTGTATCTCCATTCATTCTAGGCAAGCTCCACATAAAATGCGTTACTTCTTCCTAACCCTTCTTTGGTCTTCAATACTACTTTTTAAATACGTTTTTCGAAATAGATCTAGGAGTATGAAGATTATTTTGAAGTTGTGTAATATGGATTTATATTGCCATGGAAAAGCCAATTTGATAACTGGGCAGAACGGAGCGGACCAAAACGAGGGAAGAGATTGGACTACTTTTGCACCGGACCGCTATAGTGTGAAGTACTGTGAATTAGATAGTTGGTAGTAGTATGTAAACAACTTTTATATTATCTTGGGGGCTTTAATTTTTAAAAGATTGTTTCCAGTAACATTCAGAAGTCTAGATAGGCATTTGGTTGGTCATCAGTTACTCATTCAAGTAGATACTGTACTATTCTCATTTTAACTTTTTTTAAAGCCTTTGTTGTCTACATCTGTAAAATAAGGATTGTAAGAGTATTCACCTCTTAGGTTATTGGGATTGGAATTAAATGAGAAAAATGTATGTAAAATCCTTAGTGCATTACCCAAATAGCATAGTGTTTAGTGCATATTAACTGGTATTGTTATTTAAGAATTTTCAGTGATGTGCAAGAGGCTAACCCTGATTCTGACATTTCTTCCAGGGTACTGTGAATAGACTTTTAAAGTCAAAAGTTAATCCTTAATATGAAATTTCTCATTGGTATGTTATTACTAGAAAGAGACACTGTGACACAGTGAAAACAGCCCTTGGATTGGTAATATGAGGATTGTGGGGACCTTGGGGTTCCACCCCCACACATTGTGTTCCCTTGGACAAGTTAGCTTTTTCATCTGTAAAAGCATAAGTATATCTATCTACACAAGGTAATTTGGGAGGTTTAAAATAATATATGTTGAAGGCTTTTGTAAATGAAAATAAAAATGTTAGTTGCTATTTTTATTAAATAATTCATCTTTTTGGGGTTACAAATTGTCTTTCTTGGTCCCCAGAGTGGATTTATTCATTTATTTATTCCTTCCTTTTTTTGGTAGAGAATCAAAGCACTTTTAGGAAGAAAATTATTATCCCACTGTTGCATACAGGCACCACATATTAATGGTAGTTTGACTAAGTTTATTTTGTGGTTTGCTATCTTTCTATTCCATTGTGTTAAGGCTTTTTATATATTTAAAAAATAAGTCCATTTTAACTTTAGGTAACTACCTCAGTCTAATATAAGTTTGGGATTTTCAAGTTACTTTTTTGTCCATAGACAGATTAGCTATATACTTTTTTTGATTATACATGATTTAGGGGAAAATTGTATTAACTATATTGAAACATTGGAAGCAGAAGTAATCATTGAATTTTTTAAAGTCTTACCAAAATATCCTGTGTACTTTTAAATTTCTCAATAGTCTTTGGCACTACCACTGTCAGTCATAATAATTTCAATTATTATGATCTTCGATTGCTCAAAGATTTTGAATTAACTTTTTTCCTACTTTTTTTTAAATTCTGAAAATAAAAACCATTTCCACTAGACAGGATTAATGGTACTGCTTTTTTAAACTTTATTGACATAATTTCAAATTTCAAAAAATATTAAAAGAGTTGTACAAAGAATTCTCAAATATCACCCAAATTATACAAATGTTAACATTTTACCAATATGCTTTATCCTTTCCCCTTTTTCTCTTAGTTTTCTTCTGAAGTGTTTTGCTAGTAAGTTGCATATGTGGTGTTCCTTAATCCCTAAATGTGTGTTTCCTGAAAACAAGGATATTGTTTTATTTAACAACAGTACAATGATCAAAATCAGGAAATTAATATTAATACAGTAGTATCTAACCTGAAGGTCTTATTTTGCATGAAATATCCTTAAGTGGTATTGCTTTTTTTAAAATAGCTTTATTAAAGTGTAATTGACATAGAATTCAGTCATTATAAACTTACAATTCAGTGATTTTTAGTAAATGTGCAGAGTTGTGCAACCATTATCGTGAAGGATCCCTCTTTCCTGTTTACAAACACAAAGTGGAAATCTCAGAAAACGATCAGTTCCCTTTTGAGAGTCTCAAAACATTTTCATACATATGAAGAACTTTCCTGCAAAAGAAAATTTTGGTTAAGCATTTACCATTCTTCTTTGGACATGGAACACTTTTTTCTAGGAATAGTTTCTGAAGACTCCAGGTCTGTGGAAATTCATTTTGAGAAATGACGTTTTGAGGGGCTGGCTTTTCTTAGGCTGGGGCAATTCTGTCAGTCCACTGTAACTTGCCAGGTTGTAAGCAGGGGACAGTGCATGCTATACCAATTCTTTATATACATTGTAGAACCACTGGACTGGCTGTATAAGTATATAACTTAAAATTTGGTCTTTCATAATTAAAGTTAATGCTTAGAAAAGAACCTGGCACAGAATTGGAGCTATATATTGAGTGAATGAAAGAGTTGTATAGGAGTACTTGCTGAGGAGAGTCTATTGGTTCATTTGCATTTTGCCATTTCAGAAATTTGGCACACAGTTTCCTGATGGGGTTAGGCTGTAAATCTATCTATGGTAAAAATATTTTGTATATATTGGGATAAATCTGAGGTGGAGGAATATGTATAAGCAGTAATAGTATTCTCAGGAGTGCAGGAAAAAGATTGTTTAAAAGAGTATTGGTAAAAAAAACAATGCATACATATGTTGAGTGGTAGAGATAAATCTTTAGAAGTATTTTGAGGGGGGGGGCGACCAAATTCATTGAAATAAAATTTACATACAATAAAATGCACCCATTTTAGTTTCAGTGAATTTTGACAAATGCATACACCTGTGTGACCATTGCCACACTAGAGATAGAGAACACTTCCATCATAGGTTCTTGTTTTTGTTAATGTGTAATACTTAGCTAGGTTAAAAATGCTTTGAATCTCCTAAAAATGAAGCATGGCTATTCAAGTAATTTTAAAATGCTATATAAATCTTTTCAGTCTAATAAAAATAACCTCTCCATCTCCTTTTAAATCCCACACACATTTCCTTAGCAGTTGGCTACCTTCATATTATATCCAGAATCTACAAAGTTGTTACCTCTTTTACCATACCACGGTTCCAGACCACGTCTCTTATCTGGATTATTGCAGTAGTGTTGTGTTTGTTTTTTTTAAATCCTCACCCAAGGATATATTTATAGTTTTAGAGAGTAAGGGACAAAGAGAAACATTGATCAGTTGCCTCCCATATCCGGCATGACTGAGGATCAACCGGCAACCAAGGTATGTGCCCTGACTGGAAAGCCAACCGCAACCTTATGGTGTACAGGATGATGCTCCAACCAACTGAACCACCTCGCCAGGGCTGGAGTAGTATTTTGCTTTGGCCCTTGTTTGCCAGTCTTAAGATAACACAGTGTCAGGGAACACTTAAAATAAAAGTCAAATAAAAAAACCTTTTAAATGTTTTCCAAAATCTTTACAATGGCCTACAAAGCCTTATACTCTGAAGCCCCTCCCCAAGTAATATTCAGCATTTATTTCTGACTTCCCTTGCATACCGTGCTCCAGCTGTTGGCCTTGCTATTCTTTCTGCAAACCCTCCATGCCTACCTCTGGTGGTTTTTGCAGTTTTCTTTGCTTGGAAGGCTGTTGCCCCCAGATGCTAATAGGGCTTCCTACCTCAGCCTTGTTCAAATCTTTGTTCAAATGTCAACTTCCTGGAAAGACCTGACTACTGTATTTAAAATAAAGCACTCCCTAGCTCTCTTCCCAACTTCATTCTACCAGAAACTATCAAGAGTATTAGAGTTGCCAACTATAGGTAAAACCTGATAAACTTTGGTTATGGTTATAAAAGTTTATTCTTAATCATTTTCACATGTGAAAATATAGAATACTTTATATTGAGCCCTGGCCCCTTACGGCTTTGGTTCAAGAGCCTTCCCTTAAACCAAAAGGTTGCGGGTTTGGTCCCTGGTTGGGGAGCAGAGGAGAGGCAACTGATAGATGTTTCTCTCTTCCCCTCCCTTACCCTTACTCTAAAATCAATGTGCATGTCCTCTGGTGAGGATTAAACTTTTCGTTGAAGTAAGTGGTTGAGATTCTCATTTTAGGATGTTTAAAATGAATATCACCATAAATGTTCATTTTTTTGAATTTTTATAAAAGAGCCATTATCTTATTAAGATTACCTCCACCTTTGAAGTTCAGCCTGTGAACAAGCAAGTTTTGAACAATTCTAAATAAAAGGGAAATATTTCATGGAAAAATTAGGACAATGGAATGGGTATATTGGCATAAACAAAAGGTAAACATAATCTGGTTAACAGAATGAATTATACACTTAAAAGCCATGAAATATTGTTTAAATACCAAGAACTAAGGTATTAAATAATATATCTAATACTTGGGGAAAAGTGATTTTAGACACGAATTCATGGCCCAATCTTTATGACTGTTGTGAGGCTAGGCACTGGGTCATCGTTAACATAATACCTAGCACATGGGGGCTTCTTTATAAATTTGTTTAATGAGGTCCTCAGAGTTCATTTGTTTACTGATTCATTCATTTATTCAACAGGCGTTAATATCAACTACCCTCCTAGGAAAAGTGCTGAGATAAGAGTGTTAAAATATAAGAGCTTCTGTAAGTAGGACAGTAGCCTTCTCTGTTTTAAAAGGAGATATGCTCTTGCCTTATAGAATATTTGTTTTTATTTTTGGACAAAAGTATAACGATGGATTATTTAGAAGTATAACACATTTATAGTCTTAAATTTAGTTACATCTTCCCTTTTTAACTTATGTCAATACCTACTTGGTATTTTAAAGCATTTCCAGTATTCTATTTGCTAAGTATATGAAATGATCCTAGGAATTTATTTTACTTGTAAAACCTTCTAAATATTGTAAGTGTACTGTGTTTTCTGAAATGGAAATTTAGATTTTATAGAATATTTTATACACTGACTTAATTAAATCAAAAGAACAACTGGGGGAAGAATACTGTGTTTTGCCATGTATAATGCACACTTTTTTTGCTCAAATTTTTGAGGGAAAAGGGATGCGCACTATACATTGGTATAATGATTACCCACGTAAACAGTGGCTATAATAATAGGTGTAATAATCCCGTGTATAAGCTGCACAAAACAAGGGTGGGCATTATACATGGGAGTGCATTATACATGGCAAAATAACAATAACTGTGAGCACAAAGGATATACTTTTTTAAGACTTGTAGATAAATGTCTAATAAACAGGTAAAAAGAGATACTCAACCTCATTAGTGATTAGGGAAATGCAAACTGAAACAAGAATGTTCTTCTATCAGATTGTTATAATTTAAACACTGATTTACTCTAGCATTTGTGAGGATATGAGGAAAGGGCATACCCATATATTAGTGGTGGGAATATAAATTTTTACTCTAGTTCCGGGCGATGATTTGGAGATAAAGTGTGGATACCTACAGTAATCTGTATTATACAGTTACTTAAACAGGTGCATAGTTACATGTTAAATTTGTCATGTTGAGCATTATTTGTAAGAGGTAAAATGTGGAGCCAACCATTAATGTGGCTTGAATAATTATTGTATGTCTGTATTATGGTAGTTTACTGCCTTACAAAGAATGGAATAGAACTTTATGAACTGACCTAAAGAGATGTTAATGAAAAAGAGGGAGAAATGCACATAACAATGTAGTATGATTATATTGTTTGCAGAAAAACACAAGTGAATTACATATTAGTTTGTGTGTAGAAAGATACTTAGAAGAATACAACGATATATACCAAACTCTTGGGATTAGGGGCGAGAAAGTGGAAGACATGCACTTTTTATCTTCCCTCTTCTGAAGGGTGAGTAAAACAATGTATAAAAAAAGAAAATAGTAGAGAGAAACATTTTTTTAAAGCTTCTAACAACTCTAAACTCCTTCAGTTACAGCTTGTAGGTGGGGAAATTTTTCCTAGTGTCCAGCAGAAATACATGCTGTTGATCAGATCACTGCTTTTAATGGCATCACTCATAGTAGAACTTATTTTCATTGCTTTTTAAAATCGGTGCATGGAATCCACGTAGGACATCCTAATGTTTTTCTACTTTTTCAGATAGATGTGGACAGTTGACTATATTGAGGAACATATAACATTTGAGGGGAGGAAAAGTCCTGGATATTTAAGTATTCCTTTAACTAAAAGTAAAAAATAAGTTTGTTTAAGCGGGGATGTCCGACCTGCAGCCCCCAGGCCACAGGCCACATGTGGCCCCGGATGGCTGTGAATTCGGCCCAACACAAAATCGTAAATTTATTTAAAATGTTACAGGATTGTTTTGTGATTGTGTTGCAGTGTATTTACTGTGTGGCCCAAGACAACTCTTCTCCTAGTGTGGCCCAGAGATGCCAAAAGGTTGGACACCCCTGCTAAATTATTGAATAGTAGTATCATAACCCAGGTGAAACAGTTCAGTGTGTGTGTGTATTTGGTTTAAAGATTTCATGTATTCACTTTTGTAGAGAGGAGAAGAGAGGGAGAAAGAGAGGGAGAGAAACCTCAAGGTGTGAGAGATACATGGGTCAGTTGACTTTCACACACCCCAAACTAGGGACCTGGCTTGCAACCCAGGCACATGCCCTGACTGGAAATCAAACCAGCAACCCTTCGGTTTGCAGGTTGGCGCTCAGTCCAGTGAGCTACACTAGGCAGGGCTGTGTTCTTGTGTTTTTAAAAATCAAATGCTAGCAACTGATTATTGTATGTCAACTCTAATTAAAAAGAACTTTACATTCCAGAATGAAAAGAAAAAAAATAAATGCTAGCATCTGATTCTTGAATTTCATTCATCCATTTGTTTATTGAATTTCATTTCAGAGCGGTTAAGGGGTTTGCTTTTATGTTTAAGAAAAAATATGACTTCTGCATCCCCCTTCCCAGAGGGACCTCAGGCTACCTCTGAGCAGGGGCTTGGCCTGGGCCAGACACTGGCTTAGGCCTCATATGCCGCCTCCTGCTTTCCTGCCTATATAAAAGGGGGTCGGGGGGATTATGACTTAAAATTATTGATTTTTTTCGGGGGAGGTAGTGGGGAGAAAGATTGATTTGTTGTTCCACTTATTTATGCATTCATTGGTTGCTTGTTGTATGTGCCCTGACCTGAGATCAGACATACAACTTTGACATACTGGGAGGATGCTCCAACCACCTGAGCCCCGTGGAACCTATGACTTTCTTTCTCATTGTTATAAATTTTTTGTTGTCTTTATATTTGAATGGTTGGTTACTCAGTGACCTGATGTCAGGAGATTCCCCCATCCCTGCATCTGCCAGGTCTGTAGTTCACTGAGATAATCATTTGTACTTGAGGAACTGGCCAACACTGAATTAGTAAATACTATGTAACTTTGTAAATTAGTTTCCAGAAAAGGCTGATAGGTATTAAAAAATGTGAATGCATCAAAACAGTTTTTAAAAGTAAATGTTAGAAATCTTCCTGGATTCTGAATTTGGTTTAAAAAGATTCATTGATATTTGGTATTTAATTTTTGGATATTAACTGAACCTTAAAATTTTTTTCTTCCTTTATATGTATTCCCATATGATTGTAGGAGTCTATCCTGAATTTAGATCGTGTACATTTTGGGAACTTATTTTAGAAAAGATCTAAGTTTTAAAAATTCTCAATGGACAGACAGAGAAAAGAGGGTCTTTGCCAACTCCTTTGGGTAAGAAAACTTTAGAATTTTGCAGATACTCTAAACATGAAGGCCAACACACCAGGCACATCGAATTGTAGAGTTTCAAATAAAATGATTTGTCACGATTTCTTTTTTTAGACTGCTGGAGTAAGAATGTCCTTCCCCCCCCATCTGAATCGTCCTCCAATGGGAATCCCAGCACTCCCGCCAGGGATCCCCCCCCCACAGTTCCCTGGCTTTCCTCCACCTGTACCTCCAGGTAATTTTGTGAATTCTGTTGTTTTAACTCATACTTTTGTCTTTTCAGAGTTTACTTTAGGAAGATGATACGTATGTGACTGTATGAGTAAAAATGTCTGTTAACATCATTTCGGAAATGTGATGTCTCATTTTCCTGTGCCACAAGTTCTCATATCTGGTTGAGTATGAAGTCATTTGGGAAATTTTTAAATAAATACTTAAAAAAACACGTAATTGATTCATGAGGTTCAAAAATTAAAAGGTATAGAGTGAAAAATTGTTATCACATTTCCACATAACTATTGTTACCATCCTTTTATAGAAAGAGGGAAACAAAGCAGGGTTCTTGGTTTCTTCCTTGTCCTTCCAGATTTTCTAATGCATATTGCAAGCCACTATAAGTATGAATTCTTTTATCCATTAGTTTTTTTCTTTTAACACGGATATATAGTAATATTCCATATATACACTATTCTGCCCCCTTTTTCTATAGAGCTTTCCAAATCACTATATAAAAGCTTTCTCTCTCCAAAGTTCTGTGAGGTATAAAAAAAAAGTTTTTCAGGCCCCATCCCAACCCACTGAATCAGATCCACAGAAATTGGGGTCCAGCAGTCTTTATTTTTAGCAAGTTCACAGGTGATTCCTAGGCATCCATTTAAGAGAACCTACATTTGAGAACCATTATCTTGAGGTACATGATTAACATTACTTGGCTTGAGAGAAAGTTTACCTTTGTTTTATAGTGGTTTTTAGAAATTTTTATATTTTAATAGGCTTGAAAACATTTCATACAAAATCAGTTTTCCTTCCAAAGGATAGTGAAAGTTCTTAATTTGCATATTAGAAATATTTTGATATAAATCTGTAAATCAGGCTGAAATCATCATCCAGAAATATATATATTTTTAAAGATTTTACTTATTTTATTAGAGAGGGAGAGAAAAATCCATGTGTGGTTGCCTCTCACACGCCCCTACTGGGGACCTGGCCCGCAACCCAGGCATGTACCCTGACTGGGAATCGAACCAGTAACCTCTCAACTTGCAGCCTGGCACTCAGCCCACAGAACCACACCAGCCAGGGCAGATCCTTTTTCTTTTTTTTTTTTTTTTAATGGTTCTTAATAGTAACCATGATAGTTTTTAAAAAGCCCTTATGTTACAGAGTTATAGGGAAGAATAGTTTACTTTCTGTTTCTTTGTGAAGAAGTTAAGGGATTAGGAATGAAGCTCAATCACTTGTTCAGAATCTGAAAAGATGACAAATCTTTTGCCTTAATTTTGTTACCAATAGGATGGTTTTATAGACAAGATTTTAAATTCCTTTAAACTATTAAAGAACAAATACTAAATGTAACATTTAGTGATAAACACTATACCAAATATAACTAGAAGTGGAAGATAATTGGAACATTTTTCTTAAGACTACTTCCTGACCGGTTCAGATGAATCAGCACTGCAAAACCAGATTTTCAGTATTCTTACCTGGTTTGATCAGTGACCGTAGTAGTGTGGGCATTTGTTCGTAGAGTGGTAAAGTTGTTGATTCTGATTCTGTTTGCAACAGCATACACTATCATGTCTTTCTCGGGAAGCATACCTGGTTAATAACTCAGGTTTAGTTGTAGCTCATTCACTACCTGCATTCTGTGTGTCGTATCAATACTTTAAAAGGTAAAAAAAAAAGAAAGTAGTCGTATGCTAAACTAGTGCAATATTTGAAGACCACAATTCCTATGCAATGTATAATTTCCTTGTAAGTGCAATTAATTGAACTTCAAAAAAAAAATTTTTTTTTTAAATTTTAGAGAGGGGGAAGGGAGGGAGTACAAGAGGGAGAGAAACATTGATGTGCAAGATATACATCGATCAGTTACCTCTCCCACTTGAGGACCCGGCTCACAACCCAGACATACCCTGATGGGGAATCGAACCATCAGCCTTTTGGTTTGCAGGCCGGCATTCAGTCCACTGAGCCACACCAGCCAGGGCACAATTAATTGAACTGTTAAGTGAGATAATGTGTGTTATGCTTACATACATTAAATTAGAAAATAAAGTTGAAAAACAACCATAATCTTTCCTTAAAAAGTAATATATGGATATAGGAAAAGGAAGTTTTCTCCCACAGTTCCTGAGTTCCCTTCCCCAAAGATAGCCTTTCTTATCAATTTCTAGAGTATAGCTGTCCAGAGATATGCTATGGATATCCCAGTGTGTTTACTCTTTCCAAATTCTTTTCTTAAAAACAACTAGTTAATAATACATTTTTCATACTTTGTGCACTTTGCCTTTTTTTCACTCTAGCATGTGTAGATTTTATAATGGTAGCCATATAATTTTTAAAGTAAATTCTATACTGCGTGTTGAGGTAAGAAACATACAGTTAAACTTCTAGTAATTTGAAAAAGGTAAAAAATTTTCAATTTGTCTTTTCTGAATGGTCAGGGTGCCACATAGATCACAGTAGTAAACAAGGGGTGTGTTGTTTTTTCCCCAAAGTTGAAAGTGAAAAAATTAGATATGAATTGATTAATAGTAATTTTGAGCATCTCCTGTATTTAAGTGTCCCACAAATGATCTCAGATAATCTCGCAGACACTCTGTGGAAATAATTACCTTACTAGAATTGAGGAAACTAAAGCTGAGGTTAAGGAGCTTGTGCAAGGTTACATATCTAAAAGTGATAGAACTGAGAATTGAACCTGTTTGCTTCTGAAGCTTTTTTCCCCCCCTATTTTGTCAATCTTACGTAGTCTAATTGATAAGCAATCTTGATTTTTATCTTTTGGAAAACCGTGAAGTCACTTTGAATAAGTTATATTGGAAAATAAAGGGATAATGTTAGAGGTTTAAGAATTTATTACTAGTCTTAGATGGATAATTATTTTAAATTGATGCTAAATTTGGGTTGAAAAATAATTTCAGAACTTGTGCTATATTTAAAAGCATTTTTAAAACTTACATTGGAAAAGTAGACTGACTTTCGCCCTCATTGCAACCTTTTTCTTAGTTCTCAGATGTAAAATTTCTTTATTAGTTATTTACACAAAGACTGAATACAGTGGCTCTTGGTTAGTAAGCAATGTAGTTGAAAACAAAAATTCAGTTGTCAATAGTAGATAGCCCATTGACAGCTCTTAAACCCTCAGAGTAGCAGCTTGTCTTAAGAAATTTTTCTCTTTGACAGTGACTGAGATTACTGATCTTATTTTTTCCATGTTTTTTGTTTTTAATTAAAGAACTGGGAATAACATGATTCTTCATAGGTTCCCAGATTAATTTCTCATTTGGTAGTTATAAAACTTTCAAAGGATTTTTTCATTAGTATTATTGTTAACCCATAAGTAAATCTGTGTTTGTGAACGTTGCTGGTTTTGAGGATGTACTGAACAGATGAACGTGAGTCAATAACTACCTAGAGTTTTATCTTCCTTAAAGCAAAAGCATGTTGTGTTAGCCTTTTTGCTTTTAAAATAGTTTTTTCTTTGTATGTAAGCTTATACAGATTGACTTGATACTTCATTGCTTTTGAAAATAAGGCATCAGTCAGTATCTCATTAGTCTTACATTTCCACCTGGATTAACTGTGAGAGTACTTGTATGTATGGCATGTAGTTGATACAGAATACAGTCATATAATTGTGTGCTTACAACTCATTATGCTTTTTCCTTAGGTACCCCAATGATTCCTGTACCAATGAGCATTATGGCTCCTGCTCCAACTGTAAGTATAATTTTAAGGAGGAATTAGGTATGGTAGTGATAGTGCTTTTAAGCTAAAAAACTTGATAAATTATTTTAAATGTTTAAAAGGATAGTAGGAAGGGTGTGAGCATCCATTTCTGTCATCCTCTTTATTAAGTAACATTTTCCCTCAACTGTACATATATGCAATTGTCCCTAAAATATGCTCCCTGAATAATTTATGGTTTTTCTCTTATTCTCTAGACTCATGTACTTACTAGTTCAGATTTAGGACATTGGCTTTTTAAGTTATTTTCTCATCCTTTATCTTGGTTTTTAGATATAAGAGAGTGAAAGGATGTATCTGATCTTATTTCTTTTTAAAAAATTTTTATGTATGTATGTATTTATTTTTAGAGAAGGGGGAAGGAAGGGAAAAAGAGAGGGAGAGAAACATCAGTGTGTGGTTGCCTCTACCATGTTCCCACTGGAGGCCTGGCCCACAACCCAGGCATGTGCCCTGACTCAGAATTCAACCAGCGACCCTTTGGTTTGCAGGCCAAGACTCAATTCACTGAGCCACACCAGTCAGGGCTGATCTTTTTTTGTTTGTTTGTTTTTTAAAGACTGTAAGAATGATCCTAGCAGAAATACAAATTTCAAAATAAAAATTTGTGTTGAATATATTTCTATTCTTTCCTCCCACCTACCTTTTAGCCTCTCCCAAGCTATTTTTCCCTCTTTTAGTATGATACTATAGTTTTACTGAAGCCTTTCCTTTGGAGAAGTTTGTCATTATTTAGTCTTAGGTCTTGAATCTTAATTCTGCACATTCATCAAAACCTTTGTACACTTGACGCATCTTAGTTAAGAATGTTAATATATGACACATGAATAAATAATAACCCTCTCAGCTGTATTTTAACCAGCTATTTCTTTTTGTTCATTGGTAGAATATTAGGCTTCATTTGGAATTCCACATAGAGGGTAGACCTCATTACCTTCAACAGTTTTTATACCTGTGGCTTTTGAAAAGGGAGGGGAATCATGTTATTTATTTATTTATTTATTTATTTTTACATTAAGAAGGAAGATGGGAAGTAGGTGGACAAATAAGAATATGTTATGAGGCAGACCACTAAGAAGATAATGGTTCTGTAGACCAAGGGGTAGTCCATTTTTTCTTGCATTAGACACTCAATTTTGGGGCATTTTGGAAAACTTTCACATGACAGGTATCCTTACTATCTTGCATCTCATCCTAGGAAAACAGCATTTGAGGTTTGAAGCAGCTCCCCCAGTTCACCACTGTTTATTCAGTGCCTATTGTGGGTGTTTTGCTAAATTCAATTCCATATAAAATGATGAGAAAGGTTAGTCCTTCCTCTGGGAAGTTGAAAGTTATAAAGGGTAAATTTTTAGTGTGGGAGAGTGCTATGGGAGTATTTTAATATTCTGCAAGAGAATTAGCAGGGATTATTGAGATTTGCTGTTATACTAGTACACAGTACAGCTGTGAAGAGACTTCTGGATATATTTGATAATTTTAAATCATTTATGATGTCTTAAACAATAAAAAACTCTCTTAAACATAAAATTTCTATCCCAAGTTACTTCTGCTTTTCCAGGTTTTTAAAAGAAAGGTAATCCAGCAGTGGGACTTGACTTGTCATAAGTGTTTTCATTAATAAAAGAGTTATGTGCTTTAGGAGCTTTAGGTTAAATATGTAGATCCTTTAATAATAAAGTGCTATGTACAAGGTGGAAGAAAAGTAGGTTTACAGTTGTGTGGATAAGACGGTTTGTTTATTAATTATGGTATTGTTCATAGGAATAACGGTAAACTTGCTTTTACCCTACCCTCTTTTTACTAATTTTCATTGGTGTTTTTAGCCTGTTACATTAAACATGGTAAGTTTAATTGCCAGATGAAATTTTATTGCCTTTCTTCATTCTAGGTCTTAGTACCCACAGTGTCCATGGTTGGAAAGCATTTGGGAGCAAGAAAGGATCATCCAGGCTTAAAGACAAAAGAAAATGATGAAAATTGTGGTCCTACTACGACAGTTTTTGTTGGCAACATTTCTGAGAAAGCCTCAGACATGCTTATAAGACAGCTCCTTGCTGTAAGTCAAACCGTTTTTGTTTTTTTGTTTTTTTCATTTAAAAAGTTTTTGTTATAAATTTTAAACTTAGGAAAAAGTAGGAATAGGACTCTGCGTAATTATTTTCTCTGTTTTATTTTGGAAATTCTCAATCCAGCAAAAAAAGTTGAACAGAGTACAGTGAGCACCCTTGTAACATATTTTGTCACATTTATTCTCTCTACATACATGCTGCACACTTTCTTTGAGTAATTTGAGAGTAACTGTGACATGACATTTCACTTTTGAATACTTCTTGTGTCTCTTAAGACTAAAGACATTCTCCTACATGATCACAAAATCATCATTACACTTAAGAAATTTAGGGGTGATACAGTATCGTTAACTAATACACACAGTCCTTTTTTAATTTTTAAATTGAATTTCCTCAGTAATTTCCAAAGTGGCTATTTTTGTGTTTTTGACCTATGATCCAGTCAAGGCTTACACATTGCATTTGATTGTCCCACTTCTTTAGACAATTTGTTTAATAAAGAACAGCTCCCTGCTCTTTGTTTTTTGATTTGCTCGTTTTGATTTTGTCTTTTTTGACACTAACGTTTTTTTTGAAGAGTCTATTTTTTTTACAGAATATCTCTCCTAATTTGAAATCAAGTGAGTGTTTGCTTTTATCTACATTCAGAGTAAGCATTTTTTGTGAGAATACTTCATGGGTAATGTCTTGTTCTCCGTGTCATACAGGAAAAGGCACACAGTGTCTCTGGTTCTGTTTTTGGTGATGGTTAGTGACTCTGGTTAAGGTGGTCTGATCTCTGTATTGTGAGAGTCTTTTCCCTTTGTTATTGATAAGTAATCTCTGGGTTTATATGTGAAGATAATGAGTTCTCTTTCCTAGCAACTTTTAAAAAATTGATTGATTCCTTTTTAAAGTTTTTATTCTGAGCATAAAAAGTTGTTTTGACTTCATGAAGTCATTGATTTTCTTTTTTGTGTTTAAAAAATTTTGTCCTGGTGATATATGCAAATATTAAGTGAAATAATACTGAGTGATTTTATAGTATAAACAGTGCCCATACTTCTTCCATAATCTCCCCTTTTCTTAGAGAAGATAGTTTTAAATATTTTCCTTTTTCATTTTATAAGTAATGTACATTATCACCATTTGTTGTAAATTATATGATCCTTGAATCAAACAATGATTAGAAAATAAAACACCCACGAAACTGACCTTTGTCAGATCTCTGTATTTTGTGATACTAACTTCAGCTATCCCCCCCCCAAATAAAACATTAAAATCGAAAGCGCCAATTCCCAGCTCTTTCTTTCATGAGGTTAACTACCAGAGATAATCCACTGTTCTAAATTTAGAGTTGACAATCTCTGTATATTTTTACTTTAATTACATATTTACAGATTGTTTAAAATTTGTAATTTACCAGTTTTATTTTAATTTTTCTAAAAGACTTTATTTATTTTCAGGGAGGGGAGGGGAATGGGAAAGAAAGGGAGAGAAACATCAGTGTGTGGTTACCTCTTGTGTGCCCGCAACCCAGGCATGTGCCCTAGACTGGGAATCGAACTGGTGCCGCAACAGCCAGGGTGTAATTCACGTTTTAATTTAGTACTTCTTCATGGTTTGCTTTTTGTCACCTAATGTGTGTAGCTTTATTCACTGCTAGGTATTGCATTGTAGATAAATACCATGAATTGTCGATTTTCTACTGGTGGTCATACAGATTGTTTACATTTTTTTATGTTTTGCTGTATTATTACTGGTCATATCATGTCTTATTCATAGGTGAACCTGAAAATGTTCTATTATATATTCTCTTAGAAGTGGAATTTCTGAGTAGGGCATGCTTATCTTCAGCTTTATAAAATAATGCCAGTTTTTCCCAAAGTGGAACATTGGGAAGACATTTAAAAAAGTATCTTCATTAAGATCTAATTTATATACCATAAAATTCACCCTTATAATGTATAATTCAGTGGTTTCTGGTACATTCAGAAAGTGGTACAAACACCACCACTAATTCCATAGCATTTTCTCTTTTTTTCTTTTTATTTTAATTTTTAGAGGGAAGCGAAGGGAGGGAGAGAGGGAGAGAAACATGGAAGCACGTTCTAATCGGGGAAACTGACTCGCGACTCAGGCATGTGTCCTGACTGGGGATTGGACCTCAGCCTTTTGACTTGTGGGATGACTAGAAAGGCACCCATCCCACTGAGCAAACCAGCAAGGGCTAAAGAGCATTTTCATTACCTGAAGTAGAAACCTTTTACCCATTAACAGTCATTTCCCATTCTTTCCTCACCCCAATCCCTAAAACCACTATCCTACTTCTTTCTCTATAGATTTGCCTATTCTGGGCATTTTATATAACAGAATCATAAATATGTGGCCTTTTTGTTTTCTTTCACTTAGCATAATGTTTTCAATGTATATCTATATTATAGCTTGTATTTGTATTTCAGTCTTTTTTTAATATGTATTTTATTGATTATGCTATTACAGTTGTCCCATTTTTTCTCCCCTTTATTCCTCTTTGCCATGCACTCCTCCCCTTAGTTCATGTCCATGGCTCGTGCATATAAGTTCTTCAGCTTCTCCATTTCCTATACTATCCTTAACCTCCCCCTGTCTGTTTTCTACCTACTATTTATGCTTCTTATTCCCTGAACCTTTTCCCCCATTCTCCTCCTTCACCCACCCCTTTGATTTCCATTTCTGTGATTCTGTTCCTGTTCTTGTTGTTTGCTTAATTTTTGTTTTTGTTTTAGGTTCAGTTGTTGATTGTTGTGAGTTGTCATTTTACTGTCCACAGTTTTTGATTTTCTTCTTTTTCTTAGATAAGTCCCTTTATCATTTCCTATAATAAGAGCTTGGTGATAATGAAGTTCTTTAACTTTACCTTATCTGGGAAGCACTTTATCCACCCTTCCATTCTAAATGAAAGCTTTGCTGGATAGAGTGATCTTGGATGTAGGTCTTTGCTTTTCATGAGTTTGAATACTTCTTTCCAGCCCCTTCTTGCCGGCAAGGTTTCTTTTAAGAAATCAGCTGATAGTCTTAATGGAAACTCCTTTGTAGGGAACTGTCTCTTTTTCTCTCACCGCTTTTAAGATTCCTTATCTTTAATCTTGGGTAATGTAATTATGATGTGCCTTGGTGTGTGCTTCCTTGGGTCCAACTTCTTTGGATTTTCTGAGCTTCCTGGGTCTCCTAGAAGTCTTTCCTTGGTCAGATTGGGGAAGTTCTCCATTATTTTTTCAAATAAGTTTTCAATTTCTCACTCTTCCTCTTTTTCCTTCTGGCACCCCTATGATTCTGATGTTGGAACGTTTAAAGGTTGTCCCAGAGGTTCCTAAGCCTCTCCTCATTTTTTTGAATTCTTGTTTCTTCATTCTGTTCTGGTTGAATGTTTATCTCTTCCTTTTGCTTCAAATTGTTGATTTGAGTCCCAGTTTCCTTCTCTTTACTCTTCGTTCCCTGTATGTTTTTCTTTGTTTCACTTTGCGTAGCCTTTACTTTTTCCTCCATTTTGTGACCATGTTCAACCATTTCTTTGAGCATCCAGATTACCAGTGTTTTGAACTGTGATTCTGATAGGTTGGCTAACTGTTCATCACTTAGTTCTGTTTTTGGAGCTTTAATCTGTTCTTTAATTTGGGCCATATTTCTTTGTCTGGGCACACCTGTTATTTTGTAAGGGGCCTTAGGTATTCGCCAGGGCAAGGCAACCCAGGTCGCTGTGTTGTGACACTGCATGTGGGGGAGGGGTCCGAGAGGGAAGGGAACAATGCTGCTTGCTCGGCTCCCGGCAGGCTTCCAGTCACTTGCCCTGCTACCTGCAAGCAAATTGGGCCCTTCTAATGCTGATTTCTGGGTGGGTGGGATTGTGTACATTCTAGGACCCCGTGGGTTTCTCCAACGAACTCTCCTGTGAGGCTGGGAGTTTTCTCCTGCTGTCGCATCCTCTACAGTTTCTTAAAGCCGGAGGTTTTGAGGCTTTCCTTTCTTGCATTGGAACCCTGTATTACGTGGTCTGTCTGGCTCCCCAGCTGTTTCTCCAGTTTATCCTCACGCAGATGTGGGACTGCCCAGTCCTCCAGCCACAGCCTCACTCGTCTGGTCCTCCAGTCGTTGCCTTGCCTTGCGTCCTCTCCACCCTTGCTCCCTGTCTCTGCACCTCCTGCTGGTCTGGATGAATGTTTCTTTAATCTCTTGGTTGGTGGATTTCCATACAGTTTGATTTTCTGGCAGTTCTGCTTATTTTTTTGTTTTTAAATTTGTTGTTGTCCTTCTTTTGCTTATACAAGGAGGCAAAGTATATCTGTCTACACCTCCATCTTGGCCAAAAGTTCTGTATTTGTATTTCAATGTCTTTTATGACACTGATGATGTTATATTTAGTCGCTATGCTACATTTTGTTTACCCATTCATCAGTTGATTTACAGTTGGGTTGTTTATATTTTGTGGTTATGAATAATGGTGTATGCGGTTTTTTTGTGGACATATGTGTATTTTTTTCAGTTTGAGAGATCTCTTTTAAAAACCTGTTCCTGATTTATATGTGCAACAGAGTGTTTTAGTTTTAGGTTTTGTTTGGATTCATAAATTTTCCTCCCCTCCCTCCCTCCCTCCTTCCCTCCTTCCCTCCCTCCTTCCCTCCTTCACTCTTTTCCTTTCCTCCCTCCCTTCCCTCCCTCCCCCGTCTCTCTCTTTCCCTTTTAAGGCTTCTTTTAAATGTCTGGTGATCCTTGACTGTTCATATTTAAGAGTAAGGGATTAAAAGGCTTTTGTATAAGATGCATTTGTAAAATGTTGGGCATCATTGTAGAGTAATGTAGCCAACAGCAAGTGGTTTTAAATATTAGTATGTGGATATCTTTTTTTCTTTTAAGGATTGTTTGTTTGTTTGTTTATTTTAGAGAGGGGTAGAGAGGGAGAGAAATATCAGTGTGTGGTTACCTCTTGTGTGCCCTCCGCTGGGGACCTGGTCTGAAACCCAGGCATGTACCCTAGACTGGGTATTAAATGAGTGACCCTTCGGTTCTCAGGCCGGCACTCAATCCCCTGAGCCACACCAGCCAGGGCTCTTTCTTTTTTTAATATGTTTTATTTACTGATTTGGAGAGGGAGGGAGGGAGGGTTGTTCATTGTTCTATTGAATGAGTTACTAGCTATTCATTTTGTTTTTTCAAAATTTTGTTCAATTTTGCTGCTGTTTCCTCGTGTTATATTAGACCTTAAGGGTTTTTACCTTTTATGTCCTTTGATTATCATTTTAGTGATTTCTCTGAAGGGAGATGTGAAAAATTCATCCATATTCACTTTTGACATACCTATTTTGTATTTCTTTCATATATAATAGATTTGTGGGAGTTGAAAGAATTTTAAGAAACTTAGTTGCTAATATGATCTTTTTTTTTCTTCTTTGTTGAGTTATTTTCCTAGTGAGAATATAATTGTGCTTTTATTTGCCTTATAAGTAGGTTTCTTTTGTTAAGTAATAACTTTTTTTTTTTTCCTTTTTAAGAAATGTGGCTTGGTTTTAAGCTGGAAGAGAGTACAAGGTGCATCTGGAAAACTTCAAGGTAGGTACATTTATCCTTATTTATTGAGGTCATTTTAACTTGTGTGCATAAATCACTTTTAACATGTTTTATTCTCATTGTCCTTAATCATAGGAGTATTCTATTAGCATTTTTTGTCTTCTTATTGGAATAGGATTAAAGGCAATTGAGAAGATGTTGCTGAGAGTTGAGAGTAGAAAGTGGAAAAGTGTAACAGGAAGGAGGTAGGAAAGAAAAAATAATTATTCAGACCACCTGGTTTCTTATAAGATTACAAAATCCATTTTGTCTCAGAACAGGGGTATATGATCAACATGGGACCATTAGGACTTAACAAGAAAGTAGGAGAAAACATGATGAGATGGCTTGGTAGTCTTAAAAGCACACCATTCTTTTCATACTTGTTGATAGAAACACCTGCGTGATAGGCATTCTTTAAACACCTTGTATTATGGAATTTTCATATATATATATATATATATATATATATATATATATATATATATAAAAAATAAGAATAGTAAAATGGAGTCCCATGTACTCATCATCTGGTTTTCACATCAGCTCATGGGCAATTTTGTTTAACCTGTACTCCACCCATTTCCTCCATGTATTACTTTTAAGCAGACTTATGCATTGGATTATTTTGTCTGTAAATATTTTAGTATGTATCTCTAAAGATAAAGGCTTTTGAAAAAACATTAAAATACTACTATAAGACCTAAAAGAATGAACTATTCTCCCCCCATGTTTTTTTTTCATTTCATTCCTTTTTTTAAAACTTTTAATATCATTAAGAAAATATATTGAGAGACCCAACATTGAGCCAATACCCAGTCAATGTTCAGGTATCCAGTTCCCGTAAATGTCAGTTTTTTAAAGTCTCTTAATATTTTAACTCTTTCTTCTCCCTTGAGGTATTTGCCCAGTATTGTTTCTTTAGTGTGGATGTGCTAGTTGCAGCTCCAGTAGAAAAATGTGCCATGTATCTTTATCTTACGTATTTTATGTAAACTGGTTAGTAGTTGTATCTTGAGCCTTGATCAGAGTTGGTCAAGAGTGTATATATATATATATATATATTTTTTTTTTTTTTGGTAACAGCTGTTGATTGTCAGTGCCTAAGTTGATTCATTGATTTGGGGTTGCAAAATATAAGTGTGTTTTGAAGAATTCTATCATTCCTTCATTTGAAGAACAAATATTTTTCATTTATTAGTAGAATATGTATATAAGGATAAATTTGTCCCTTCATCTGCTCTTGGTTATTTTAGAGGTATAATTTATATTAAAAAACCAGGATAAATGCTTTGGTTCTTTATTTTATTTTTTAAAAGAATGAGCTTGTGTCTTCAGCATGCTCTAGCAGTGACTTTTTTTAAAGAACTATTTTGAATTTTGAGATTGAAATATAGTCAATTTGTTATTACTTAGTATGGATTAATTGCCATTGTTATTGCAGGTGAAGCTTAAGCTATCATCAGTTAGTTGCCTCTGCAAGTTGGATTTCCAGTGGTTTTGATACAAGTCTGTCTTTGATAGCTTCTTTGTTATCTGTAGTGACAAGACCTTCTGAGCTCCATCTAGTAGATTTTCTACCTCGGATTTGGGATTAGCTATTTCCCAAAGGAGGTGTGGTTCCTCAAAATCAGTCTAGGAATTGTGTATTCATTGTAAGAGTGGTTTGGCCTTTGCTTTTATGTCTTTCCAGTGCACATTAATTCGAATTCTGGACCGAAAGATTTTTTAAAAATTTTATTTACTTATTTTTAGAGAGAGGAAGGGAGGGAGGTAAATGTGTTGTTGCCTCTCGCACGCCCCCTAGTGGGGGCCTGCCCCATAACCCAGGTACGTGCCCTAAACTGGGAACTGAACCAACAACCCTTTGGGTCGCAGGCCGGTGGCATTCAGTCTTCTGAGATACAACAGCCAGGGCTAAAAGATTTTTATTTAACCTTTTCTGTCATATGTCTGTATTTTCTTTCTCCCACACCGAGAATCCTGAGTTTCAAGGACACCTGGGACAATAAATAGACTATTAAATAATTACTGGCTTGCTACACCTTACATTTCACATGCAGTAATTTCAGACTAATAATACCAACACTATCATCAAAAATATGATTATTGAAACTTTCTTTTTTATTGACAAGACCTTTTTGGGGTATGTCACACTAAAAATGTACAGTCAAATTTCTAGTCTTAAATTCACTTAGAATAGTTTTTCTCTGTGTGGCTATGTCATTACTGTATACATATTTGGATTCATTTGTTTAACTTTCAGTTTTTAAGTTGCTCGTTAGTTTTATTTTTATTTTTTAAAGATTTTATTTATTTTCAGAGGAGAAGGGAGGGAGAAAGAGAGGGAAACATCAACGTGTGGTTGCCTCTCACGTGCCCCCTACTGGGGATCTGGCCCACAACCCAGGCATGTGCCCTGACTGGGAATCGAATGAGTGACCCTTTGGTTCGCAGGCCGGCACTCAATCCCCTGAGCCACACCAACCAGGGCTAATTTTGTTTTAATATCTCTGATTTAAAGGCATGGTAATAATAGTGACACTAGCCTAGTTATTAAAATGAAACATATAGAAAAGTTAGGTGAGTAACTAGGATAAGAGATGATTACCTTTATAGTTTAACTTCTCAGAAAAGTGCTTTATTTACATTGGAGCAGCCTGTTCTCACTTATTTGTAGCTTTTAGGAAGTCTGGATGGAATGAATTTGTGAAGTAATTAACAGTCTCAATCATGAAATTTGTTGATTTTGCTTACTTTTTTATCAGCACTTCCAGTAAGTGGCAGCTTGCCTGATGAGGGTTTTTTCCCCCTTTCGTTGAGAGTGTAAACATGAACCCCCTTTAAAAGGTTATTGAATGAAATGGAGGAATGACAACATGAATATACTATGACACTTGGTCTCTACTGATTTTAATTTTCCATACTTTTTTTCATCTCTCATAATTATATTGATATTTTACTAATTCTTTACATTTACTGCTAGCCTTTGGATTCTGTGAGTATAAGGAGCCTGAATCTACCCTCCGGGCACTCAGGTTATTGCATGACCTGCAGATTGGAGAGAAGAAGCTACTTGTTAAAGTTGATGCAAAGACAAAGGCACAACTGGATGAATGGAAAGCAAAGAAGAAAGCTTCTAATGGGGTATGTTTTCCATAGTGTTATCTTTTCTAGGCCAAATGTGCTCTTACAGCGTAAATACTTATTATAAATTAATCTAATATGGGGCTTCACAAGATCATCATGCTTGTGACTAACATGCAGATGTTTTTAGAGTTTATAGTTATTTTAAGTCTTTTATCTACCCATTGTGGGTGGATGACTGTTGGTTTGCTTGTTCCAGGTTGGTATGAAGGTAGTAAGGGAGGCTGGACAAGGTTAACTTGCCAGAGAAAACATTGGTACAGACTATTCCAAACAGAGCTAATTCATTAAGGCAGCTTTGTAAGTAAGTACAAAATATATTTCAATCTCCACAATTTTTATTAGTTATTAGTTACCTTCTCTTTTAGAAGTACACAGGTTCTAAAATATTTAAAATAAGTATAATATTATTTTCCTCAGATTGGTGGCTGTGTAAAGCAAAGCTGAAGTAAAGGAGTTTTTATGTGTTGTACTGTAATGTATGCATTATTACTCCCTGTCAACAAAGCAAAAAATAGCTAAAATCTTAGTTTATGTTTCTTTGTTGTCCCTTTCTAGTTCCTTTGGGCACCTCAAGCTTACCAGATCCCCAATAGATTTATTACTATCTTTCTGTCTCTACAAAAAAAGAAAGAACAAAACCCAGCCTTTTGCTCTCAAGCTTTGTTATAATTCAATATAGAATGGCTTTTTTGGTTCTACCCTTTCCCTTCTTTACAAAAATGTTCTTTGTAAAAAGCTCATAAAATAAAGCTGTAAGAAAGATATTAAGTATCATTCATAATCCTATCACCATTAGTAACCACTGTAGTCAGTTTTGCGTATTCTTCTAGACAGTTTTCTGTATGGATGAATGTAGCTTTGATAGGGGTATGTGTAGTTGTTTTTCTTTCTTAAATACAGGATTGAATTCTAAGTATTGTTTTATAAATAGCTTTTTCTCTCTTTCCTTGGACTTGTAATAATATTTTAGCTCATGTCTGTACATTTAGTTTTCTCTCATCTGACTGCTACAGTACTGCCTGTATTTCTAAAACTTTACTATAATTATGCCAACCCCCTGCTCATCCACCCTTAATGGTGTTGAATTTCTTACAGTTTAAAGCCCATATTCTTAACATGGCATCCATGGCTTGCTTCAGTCTGCTTTTCTTGTGTCTCCCCTCAGTCACCCTCTATTCAGTCATGTATTCATACAAACTTCATTTGTGTTTTGCTGACATCTCATGTCCTTGTTGCCCATCCGTGCTTCCTGCTGAAATTCTGTTCATATGGTTAGTGTAATTAAAATGTTACTTGATTCATACAGCCTTCATCAGTCCTATCCCTTGATTCTTTTCAGGCAGAATTGAATTCTCTCTTCTGTCAAGTAGGTTTTTCCTGCTGTTCATGGCAGTCTCCTTTGTAGTATATATTGTTTGTATCTCTCTGTCTCTGACAGCCCTTTATACCCTTTTCATTCCCGTGTCCTCCGCCACATTTTCTGATTACAAGATAGAAAGACAAGAAAGTCACAGTGTGTGTCCCTGTATCTTGTACCTCCACAGGACCTAAGATAAAGTCTTGCCCATAGCAAGAATGGAATGCACATTTATTGAATAACAGTTGTGATTATATTGCCCTCCTGTTAATCTTACTGTCCTTGCCTAGCTTTACAGGGAAATAATAAAATACAGTTTCTCTGGAGTGTAAACTGTATTTCACGTCATCAGTGTTACCTGTCACAGCACTAAAATCTTTTTTAAAAAACAAACTGTATGTCACAAGAGTTTTTAGATTTTCCTTGCTGTGATCATTGTTTTTATTTATTTATATAATTCCCCATGACTCATAGTTTTGCTGTGTTTACTCATGAGCTTCTGGGGTGGTTTAATTTGTAGTATTTGCAGATAGTGTGCTCTGAACATGAAGTAAAGCACTTCACTATTTATCTATTTATATGAATAAGAAGATGCACAGTTTTGTGACTCTAGCAAGAGGAAGCACTATTTAAATATGTGTCTTCAAGTATGGAATTGAAGCCACCTCCAATAAAAACAATTATTGCAAGTAAAATGAAATAAAAAAAAAATTAACAGACATTATACCTGGATACACTTAGCATGGTGCCCAGGTGCATGAAGTCTTAAGACAAACATGGCATATTTTTGGAATGTCACCTTTCTTCAACAACATTGATTTAAAAAAAATAAAGCAACTATCAAACTTTAAAAAGTAATTTAGGCAAGTATAGCTATATTGTAAAGTACATTGAAGATTTATTCATGGTTTTTCAAGATAAAATAGAAGATGTTATTTGTTTTTTCTCCTTTATTGACTTTGTCAGAAGTTTAGCGAGCAGTGGCTTAAGGTGGATGATTCGAGAATGAGACATTGAGAAACTTGTGTTACTTTATTCAGACATTTTTCTGATTTCAGGCAGAAGAGAAAACATAGTTGCATAGTTCTCTGACTAAAAAAGAAACGTGAAGTTGTCTAAAAAGAGATTTTTTTCTGACCTAGAATTTTAAGAAGAATTAAGTGTCTAATGGCTTGATTGGAAGTTTTCATTGAGATTTTTCAGAATTTGAAGAAGCAATGTTTTTACCTTTAGTAAAAATATTTATTTTGCTGTAGCCATGGTGATCTAGTCCATGTCCTGAAGCTTTCTGGCTGTTCATTAATAGAGGTAGAGCTACCTGCTTGATTGCCACAGGTAGTGGGCGTTAACCACACATTCAAGAATGAATTCTTACAAGTGTTGAAAGTACAAATAATCTCTGGAAGGAGCCATTTACATTACATTTTAGTTGGTGATAGATACTATAGGTAGGAATATCTTCACATCTTTGCCTGCAAATTAGCCTGGCTGAATCTACATTTCGTCAAAAAAAGCTCTGCGTTTGCTTAAGTTCCCAAAAAAGTTCTTGTCTTAAATTCCAGAAGTCAGTGCCAAAGGAGCCTAGAAGAGCTGTTTTCCAACTTTACAACTAGTAGCTTTACTATTGAAGCTTTTAAACTTTCTTCTGAAAAGAGCCAAATAAGTGGGCCACATAAATAGATCAGATACTTAATTGATTTCTGTGATTCTGTTGTACTGCTAAATCTTTTATCTTTTTCTGTTAATTGAATTCACTTTTTGTTTCTGAAGTGGAAGAAGAAACTGGAAATCAGAAAATTGTTTATGGTTGAGGACCCAGAGGTAGAGCAGTTTGAAACCAAAAATAACTTTTCTTTCCATGATACATCTGGCTATTTTTGTTTTCTTACATTAACAATTAGTTAAGAGATTCGGGCTAATTAGCTTTCCTTCTAAAAATGCACATTTTTTTAATAGCTCAAGGGGCAGTAGTTACTCGCAAGGTAGTGTGAATTAATTCTTTCCAAATGCTTAGCTAAGACTGGCTCTACTAATATTTAAATTTTTATTTAGGATGGTGGTGGTAGAGAATTTAGGGGCAATGGGTATTTTTAGATGAATATGCCTTTGGATTTAATAACCCCATGTTTATCCTTATGCATAGAAAAGCAGGAGATGGAGAGGGTTCATGGAAAGGAAGTTAGAATATAGAGGAAAAACTAAAGACAGACTTGGATGCTCTCTCATAAAGTATATTTTCATAATAAAGAATTTAGGTCTCATCAGCTAAGGGTTGGGTGAAATAGCCATGTATGTCTTAAAACCTGCGGTTTCAACGACAAGTTTATTGGAGGGTAAATTCTTCAGTTAAAAACCTGTATGGAAGCAGAGTATCACTGAAGTGATTTTAGTGAAAGCTGCTTAAAGACCTTACTGTGATACATTATTGATGTAAAGTAAGAAAGGAACAGATTTATAGTTTACAGTATTTTTGAAAAATAATTTTAACTGTTTAATTACAGTCCTTGTATAAAGCATCTTGTCTTTATTTAAGATGCCAGATAGAAAAAAGTTGGCAACAAGAAGATTGGATGAAGAGGCAGGTTTGAGAAAAAAACTCTTACAGTGGTTAGTTTTATAATATTGCACAACTTATATTGAAGTTATTTATATCATAACTTTCTCTTAATCCTTTATTGTTCCATGCTTAAGGGCAAAGTTATTTTTGTTTTTGAATTTTTTTTTGCCACTTAGCATAGTATCTTGCACACAATAGGCTCTTTGTTGAGCAAATTCATTTAAGAAATAAATGCTTGTTGAATAAGTATTCGTTGGAGATAGCTTTCAGAATGCTGGTGGTTAAATAACTTAGATTATATTAAGGAGCTACAAGGTTATTTTTGTTTTTCTTAACATTGGCAATGAGTTAAGAAACTCACCTTTGAATAAAGTTGTATGCATTGGGACCAGGAGCCAGCATTTGTGCAGAAGAGCATGGTTCATGTTTGTGTATCTGAAAATGTGTATAGTATGTACCAAGTAAATTGATAACTACTTTGGGGAATGCATGTATATACAGTTTTCAATTACAAAAGTCTTTGTATACATACCTCTTTGTTTGTTACTTGTTATGTTTTTTTCACCTTTTTTTTTTTAATTTTAAGAAGAGAGGGATTGAAAGTAACCAACTGGAAATTATCCAGTGTTTTGAGGTCATTCTCTGAATTTTTGGTTTGATCTGGATTAATTCCTTAATTGGGAGACTTTAAATATAACGTAGGAAAAAGAAGAATGGTACATTAGAAGCCAGAAATATTTTTCTCTGTATCAACACAAGTAACAGTCTAGACGTCGTTTTAAAATTAATGAAGTCTTATAGTTAGTTGCTTATTTGTGAGGAACATTACAGTGTGAATTTTTTGTTTTTATTACATGTGCAAGTCATGAAGAGAAAGACTTGTGCAATATTCAGAGTTGATTCTTTCTTAGTGTATATGATTTTATGAGTGATATTCCCACATTACAGAAATTTAAAAAGCAGAGGGGAAAAAGAAGCCATTGTTTTAGCCTCTGACCTGTCTCATGCTTGCATTCTATTGTATAAAATTGTCTATTATATTTTTGTTTACTTCACCTAGAAATTTTATTTTAAATAATGGCTAGCGTAGTGTACGTAACATATTTTGCTTTTTCCACATAAATTTTCAACTGTTGAGTTGTTTAGGAAGCATTGTTAGTTTGTGCAACTATTGAGCAAGACATTCTGAAAGATTTGGAAAGCCTGGCAGATGTTTTATGCAGTATGCTAGTCCTGTGATTTAATCTTTCTATAGCTGGTTGAGGATCAGAATATTAGCTATCAGGGGAAGAAAGGAAAAGAAAATGATGAAGTACCAGCATCCAAGGAAAAAACACTAAAACGTTTAGTTTTATAAAGTTAGCAGCAAAACCCAATCTGCATTTAATTGGACTACAGAAATGTTTTGAAGGAGACGTTTTATTTATTTTGTGTACTAACTCTTGTTTTAGAATGATTTTCATTTCCTTGGTTGATTTATTCCCCCCTTCCACTCCTGAATTTGCCTTGTTGTTTTTTGTTTTGTTTTGTTTTTTAAGAATGCCAGGCCAGAAACTGTCACTAATGATGACGAAGAAGCCTTAGACGAAGAAACAAAGAGAAGAGATCAGATGATCAAAGGGGCCATTGAAGTTTTAATACGTGAATACTCCAGCGAGCTCAATGCCCCTTCACAAGAATCTGACTCTCACCCAAGGAAGAAGAAGAAGGAAAAGAAAGAGGACGTATGTGTTACTGATTTCTGACAACAGCCATATCTACAGTTCACTTTTTATGGTGTCACTCTTGTGCTTTCATTACATTTCAACTTTTGAGGGAAGAATAGAATGACTAGCATTTATTATAATATACTGTTAAGCCTAATTTGACCAATCAACTTAAATTTTTTAACCAAAACATTTGTTTTTTATGTTTGAAATGCACTGGCAGGGAAGCTTGTGCTTGGCCTTGTATTCAAATTCATTAAGGAGAAACAAACCTTAAGTGATAAAGTGTAGAGTTAAAGTGCAATCTTTTTGTTTTTGTTTGGCTGTGATGGGGCTCTCCATGTTTTGCCTTACTTCCTAATTCTTATTCTGTCTCTGCTCCAAGCAGGATGCTAGTCTCATTCACTGAGGGTTTTTACCCATTTTTAAAATTTTCAGCCAACTCTCCTTATAAACCATGTCTCATATCCCCCATGGACAGAAATGCTGTTCAAATTCTAATGGGAGGATTATGAAAGAACAGCACAAGATGAAACCCTCCTCCCTAGTGTATTGTATTACCACCACTCTTTGTCAGACCAAGCTGATTGAACAGTAGGGGGCCCAGGTTGAAAGAAAATGTTTGTTTTTTATACTCATTTCTTCTGAATAAATTTAGAGAAAATATGGGGAGTGTTCTTTTTTCTTCTTTTTTTAAGATTTTATTTATTTTTAGAGAAAGGGGAAGAGAGGGAGAAGGAGAGAAATATCAATTGGTTGCCTCTTGCATGAGTGTCTACTGGGGACCTGGCCTGCAACCCAGGCATTTGCCCTGAATAGGAATGGAACTGGTGACTTTTTTGTTTAAGAGATGACATTCAACCCACTGAGCCACACCAGTTAGGGCAAGAGTGTTCTTAAAAATGTTGGAATTATGCTATATGCACGGATTTCCTATACCGAGAAAAAGTACTGTGAAACATTGAATTTAATATCAAGGTTCATATTGTATTTCATTGCCTTATTAGGCCATCTTCAATTTTCTTTGTGGCCAAATACACTTTTATTACTTGGCTTATTCTTCCTCATGTGGTCATAAATACCTGTCTGGTGAAATGCCAATAGTTGGGAAGAGTAACTGGAAGAGTGAGTTAGGTACTGAGTAATTGAAGCCTGTGACGTGTTCTCTCTTCCCCCACTAATGGAAAAGGAGAAAATAACTAGACATTTATGTTGGATTTGGGTTGGGAAGAGAGGATCAAAGAAATCCTGTTCTGTGGCAGAAATTGTAGGCACATTTTCTTGTTATGATTGTTTCCTATATCTGGATCAAGGAAGAAGTCCTGCTAGTATATCCTTACTCCATTGCTTAGGGAAGTTGGAGGGAGAGGAGGTGATGGGAAGGGTCATAGGGAGTGAGTGAAATCTATTTTTTATTATCAAGTAATTTGAAATTAAGAAAATTTCACACAAATCGTACATTGTTTGTAGTATAAACATACAGAGCACTGTTTTGCAGAGTAATGTGACCTCTTGTTTGTTTGGTTTTTTTTTTTAAAAAGTCTTTGTGGATTTTTTCGCAGATTTTCCGCAGATTTCCAGTGGCACCTCTGATCCCTTATCCACTCATCACTAAGGTTTGTTCACATTGTAGGCTTGACAATAACTGTGTTTACTGCTAATTGCCAGATTTGTGATTCTTGTTTATATGATTTTTCACTATTTAATTTCAGTCTTTAGATTTGTTACTATATTAGTTCAATTTATTTATTTCTATCTCTTGTAAGACCTGTACAGATATCTAACCTTTACTTTGTATTACATTGATCTTTATGCATTTCCTCTTGTCCCCTCTGTGTTTTAGGAGGATATAAATGCTATAGAAATGGAAGAAGACAAAAGAGATCTGATATCCCGAGAGATCAGCAAATTCAGAGACACACACAAGGTAGTATTCTTGTTTTTTCACTTGATACCAATCTAGACTTTTTACAGAATCCAAAGCAAACAGACAAAAAAAAAAAACAACCTTACATTAGGATATACTTATAAATGCTTTTTATAGGTTTAATCGATATTTTAGATAGAAAAAAAAACTGAAGACCAATACCATATTAAAGTGGACCTTGACATATTGTACTTAGTTTTTTTCAGTTACTGACTACTCTGCAGTCATCTCACTTTAATATGAGTGAAAGCTAATTTTATTTTTAGATTTCAACATAAACATCAAGGTCAGATTTAAACTAGATTCACGGGGGCAGGATAACATACACTGTAGTGTATTTCTGGGGGCAGTTATTTAACTTAAATCTTAGGAAAACCTTTTTTTTAGAGCTGAGGTTAAAATTTAAGATTATATTTGTATAGATTTAAGTTGAGAGGGGGAGATTTTAAAAAGTAGGTCAGTGGTTACCAGACTTACCAAATTTTAGATGCATGGAAGAACTGTAAATGCCCATAAAGCTAATCTATTCATTGACCCCCCACCATTATGATAGAGATCATATGGTGACTAATGCAAGATGAAACACTCAGCTTGGAAAGTAACAAGGAATAGGATGTAAGTATGAGCTTCTGTTTTTTATTATATTTATGGATGCCCCCTCAGAAAAATATGCAAAGGGGTAACTGGCTTGGAAATGGGTATTTGTGCATAGTAAATCCCACTCACGAGTTTTGCCTATTGAAAGCTTCTCTCAACGACAGTGTATCTTTGAATGTTTGCTGATGTTGAAGGTGATGCTTATGGACAGTGAAATGCAAATATTGCATGAAATATATTTTAATACTAGAGCTAAGATATTACTGGTTCTTCCTCATAAGACTGAGTGACCTTTAATTCAGTGAAATGTTGTGTTTATATTTTCTTTTATTTACTCTTATTTTTTCTTACTGCTTTCAAAATTCCAAGTTGACAATTAATGCCATTGACTCAGTGCTGCTGAACACTTACTATCCAGGCCCAGCCCTAGCTCATGCACACAGTACTTTTTCAGGAATTAAATTTGTCTAAAAGCACAAATGCAGTTCTCCTGAGTTGATTTTTAGAGTTAAAAGGGTAATCCATGGGAAGTCATTTTAGAGGAATACTTTTGGTTAGGTTTAATATTCAAATTCAGTGTCTGAGTAAGCTTAAAAATAGTATACAATTGTGTGTGTGGTTTACCCCCTTTTTGTTATTTGTTAAACCATGTCATGTCATTGGTAAAGTATTGAAATTGTGTTTTAAAACATTAATTCAAGATATCTGCTTCAGAGTTTTGAGAAGCTGTTAGGCATTTGACTACCTAAGACTTAATTTACTGTGGGGGGAATGTTTTGAATTTCCAAAATGTGCTTTAACAAAAAGTCAAAATGAAAAAGAAAAAATGTTTATTTTATTGGGTGGTATGGTTAAAGGAAATGTTTAAAAACTTGAGTAACAAAAAATGAGCTCAGTGAACCTTTGCATGTTTTGGTATGAGTTTATTAAATAACCACAGACTGTCAGGGTATCAGCGTGGCAGGGGGCGTCCATTTACAGCACGGACGAGTCTGAAGAGAGAATAAGGTAAGATTTATGATTTTTTTTCTGTCCTTTTCATTATTTCATTACTTTCTTACATCATTTTAGACTCCATTTCCTCTTTCTTCAGTCTTTGTCTTAAAATAGATATGTGTGTATGTTTGTATCTATTTATTGCAGATACAATCTTTTAGAAATGCATTTAGTATGAATCAGATTCACTCACTTTTTCATTTACTTAGAACAAAACCTTTGAATTGAGTTCTGAAACAAATTATTATTTACATAAGTGAAACTGTACACTTAAGAAATTAAGTAGTGCAGTGACTAAGCAAGAGTAAAAAAATGAGGAATTCTACAAAAGAAATTTTTGGAACAGCTAAAATAATCTGTAAGTATTTATCTCAGAAATAAATTTCTTTATAAGTGTATGACACTGAGGTAAGTTCTATGTAGTCTAGCCTCATTGTAAAATTTAAATTTTTGTAATCCTTTAGAACTGTTTCAGAAATTAGAATATACCCCTTTAAATAGCTTTCAGTTTCTGTCTTCTACCATTTCTTTTTCTCTTCTCTTTGTAATTTCAATGTATTCAGTTTTAGCTTTGCCTACATTCTACTTTGATAAAGATTGGCACAGCGGCTGAATATATTGATTTCTCATGCGTTAGCTTTTCTTTCATAATCCTCTCTCAGTTCTCTGATCCATGAGCAAGAGAAAAAGAGTATAACAGGTAAGATTACTTTTTAAAGTTGTTTTAAATGCTTTACATGACTGAGAAAAGAAAAAAAAATGCACATTTATTGCTACAGTTTATTTCAGTGACTCTAATCATGGAACCAAAGGGATAAATATGTTTTGGTTTTGTTTTGTTTTTCCTGTTTGGGATATTTTCTTTTTCTTTCTGAGATTGTGTAGAAACCGTATGGTACACTGGTAATCTTGGCAGGGTACAAGCTTGGTCTGACTTTGTTATTTGGTTTATTTGTGAACCATGTACTTGCTCTTCCTCCCAGAAACATAGCTTGTAGGCAAGGTTAATCCAGTGTTGGCGATCCATGTCCTAGCACAGCATCTGTAAGTTAATACACAATCGTTCCTTCCAAGGATGGATTTATCACTGCAATATATTTTTATTGTCTTATAGGCATAAGGGGCATAAATATGTTGCTTTTATGGTTAAGTTAAATGAAACTATTACAATAACGTACATTTTTGCTTGAAGTGAGTGATTTTCAAACTTCTGAATTTGGTGGGCTTATCCATCTTGTAATGATGGGAGTAAATGTTTCAACATAGATAGTAAAGCAGATCTTGGCTGAATTCACCTTGCCTTTTGGAGGGTGGGCAAACCAGAGGGTAGATTTAGTTGTATTACAGTGGCCTGACTGTTATTTCCCACCTCTTTAAAACCCTTAACTAGTAACCCTCAGGTAATGGGAAGCCTGGGGCTGAAGTTAGTATCAGTAGTCCCACTGATTTACAGAAATTTATAATGGGAAGAATTACATTTTAGCCAAGTGATTGTATGTCTAGAAATTATTATGAACCAACACATTTCTCGTGGTCATTTTAGTTACTATATAATCATTGACTGGCCAGCCACACTTGACACAATCTCCCAGCATCCAAGATTGGAGATACCTGGTCTCTGTAGAGCATATGGTTTTGCACGAAATCTATCTAGTCTTGTGATTGTTTTAGTTTAATTTGTCAAGTATAAAACCACAAGTATTTGAACATGAAGTACCGGTGGTTTTTTTTTCTGTTGTTGTTGCTGCTGTTTTTTGTCCCCCTCCCCCCCAGTATTGGGCAGTGCGCCGGGAAAATTCTGAATACAGGAGCTACAGAGTTAACTCTAAAAGTACTTTTATTGGTTTCTAGAAACTGGAAGAAGAGAAAGGCAAAAAAGAAAAAGAAAGACAGGAAATTGAGAAAGAACGGAGAGAAAGAGAGAGGGAGCGTGAAAGGGAACGAGAAAGGCGAGAACGGGAACGAGAAAGGGAAAGAGAACGTGAACGAGAAAAGGAGAAGGAACGGGAGCGGGAACGAGAACGGGATAGGGATCGTGACCGGACAAAGGAGAGAGATCGTGATCGGGATCGAGAAAGAGATCGTGACCGCGATCGAGAAAGGAGTTCAGATCGAAATAAGGATCGGAGTCGATCAAGGTAAGGCTTCATAGAAGTTACTGTCTTCCTGATAGTTTTACTCGAACTGCAGGTTAGCACTCTTAGGACCGTTTACATTTATGTGATAGAGAACTTCCTTAGCCACAGAGCATGCCCAGCTTGCTGTATTGCCCATGTAAAACGCTGGTGAAAGGAACAATTTTCTTTTTTAAATTAGTTTCTGCCTTAAGCCAGTTTTTACACAGACCCAGAACACACCAATTATCCACCCAGTGTTATGGGTAGACAGGATTTCCTAGGCCTGTGGCCTTTTTCCCCTAGTCTTTGTTTCGTTGTGGTCCTGTGTACTGGGAAATCAGCTCCAGCACCACAGCACTTAGCCTTTTGTGTCTTTTATTTGGTCATATAGTCTACTGGATGCCCACAACTCACCTTCCAAACTCTAGATTTGCTCTCTTTATTACTATGAATTTTGCTAGTAATTACACCTTTTTGTTTTGTTGTACTTAGAAATTTTTCTTTATTATTGATTTCAATTGACGAATCATCTCAAATTCTTTAGGAATTGAGGGAGTAAAAATGAACAAAAGAAGTGGAAAAGGGAGGTTTGAAGGAGGGGAGGAAGAAAAACACCTTTTTTCCCCAAGCTAAGTTTCAAATGTATATTTTTTAAAGGGTTAAATATTCTTTCTTTGATATTTTACACAGATCACACTAAAATACCTTTAATTAAGTAAAAGGCAACAGATTAGATACAGGAAATTTTAATTAAATTGGCATAGTTAGTATCAAAAAAGGTAAAATGGACACTGCCAGTTTATCTTTAGCCCTTGCCTTTTAAATGGGCTAATGAACACAATTTGAAACACAAGTGAGTCTTGCTGTTCGAAGAAACAGTGAAGGTACAATATTTCCTCAGTATTTAAACATGTTACTATAACGAGTGGCATAAACGTAACTATAAATTATAACCAGTCTCCTACAGGTTTTGAAATGGTATTCACCATCTCTGTCAAAAGTCGATCATTATGAATCAAGTCCAGTCATATTTTTAAAAGGGAAGAATGTTGAAAGCACTTGCTGAATCAAAATTACCATTAAAGTTTAAAAAGCTAATCTTATTCTTTTAACCATATTATTTAAATCTGGTCTGCACAAAAGAAATGTTCTGTCAACCACCATGATCTGAATTCAGGTGTATGAGATCAATTTAAACATAGTACCTATAAAAAAGTTATGAGGCATTTGCAATAAATAAGGCAGTGGCCAACTATTAGTCATTAGTAGCTTTTTAAGTTAAGCTATGAAGTCTTCCATTCTGTACTCTTCTTAAGGCCAGTGAAGATCATTTTTGTTCTAGGGATGTACTTTTTTGTTTTCTCCAAATACTCCATCAGTGTAACCCTTCCTTAGGTGATGCTTTTGTTCTTGTTGGCATCCCTGTAAGAAAATCCACGGGCCTGACCTGTCTTTCAGACACATAGACCATGGAGATTTGGGCCAGTCTTGTGCTCACCTCCCTTTCCCACAGTATGGCATTGGGTACACTTTTGAACAAAAATCTTTCTCAACATCACTCATTTTAAATCACCCTTTCATTACACACTATGCTGAGAGCTTCCCACTTACAAGCCAGACATCCCACTCTCTATTCAAATACACAATTTTTTTTAAAGATTTTATTTATTTTTAGAGAAGGGAAGAGAGGGAGAGAAAGAGAAACATGAGTGTGTGGTTGCATCTTGTGCACCCCCACGGGGGACCTGGCCTGCAACCCAGGCATGTGCCCTGCACTGGAATCCAACCTGTGACCTTTTGGTTTGCAGGCCAGCGCTCAGTCCACTGAGCCACACCAGCTAGAGCTCAAATACACATTTTTATGTTACAAATTTTCCATCTTACTATTAGCTGAAAGGAGGTCCACTTTAAGTCAGTTTACCAATTGCTGGAACTGGAAGTTCAGTGCTCTTACTATTTAGTGGGCATTAAAATTCTCAATTTTCCTTCCTCCCCTGGAATAACTAGTGTATCCTTTTGGATAACCGTCATTGGGATTTTGACCTCTACAAATTCAGTGTTTTTATATTTCTACAGATAGGAACCCATAAATAATGTATTTCATATATACATATATATTTGTACTTAGAGATTTTATTCATTTATTTTTAAAGAGGGGGAGGGAGGGAGAAAGAGAGGGAGAGAAACATCAATGTGTGGTTGCCTCTCACACACCACCTACTGGAGACCTGGCCCTCAACACAGGCATGTGCCTTGACTGGAAATCGAACCAGCAATCCTTTGCTTTATAGTCCAGCACTAAATCCACTGAGCCACCCCAGTCAGGGCTATTTGTATTTATTTAAGTCCCTGGCATCATACCATACATGGCAGCTGGGTTTTATCATTCCGAATTAAATACTTGAGAACTTTCCATTTCTCCTAAATATAGTTTTAATGTACCTATGAAACATGCCAAAATGCTCTTTTCTTCACACTCTTCCAACACCTTTATTCCTTGACCACTAGTGAAATAGATTACCTTTCAACATGTTCATTAGTCCTTTTTATTTCTTATACTTGGGGTCTTTGTTGGTTTGTTTTCTGAGATACCAACATGCATTAACATTGAATTCAGGATTCGGGGCTGGAAGTATATTCTATGTCTCTGACAAATACAGAGGAGTTTACAATTCTGCAGAAATCAGATGCTGAATTCTGGCTTGTGAGTTTGTGTATTTCATAATATATGTTGTTCTTTCTTCATTGGTTTTGAAAAGAAAACAAGGGAAACTGACAGATTTTTTTTTTTTTAATCTTTATGTAGAGAAAAGAGCAGAGATCGGGAACGGGAACGGGAGCGTGAAAGAGAGAGAGAGAGAGAACGGGAACGAGAAAGAGAACGCGAGCGAGAGAGAGAACGTGAAAGGGAACGGGAGCGTGAGAGAGAGAAAGACAAGAAGAGGGACCGAGAAGAGGATGAAGAAGATGCATATGAACGAAGAAAACTTGAGAGAAAACTCCGAGAGAAAGAAGCTGCTTATCAAGAGGTAAATTGAGGAAATATTTTTATTTGTAAAGCTTGTTATTTAGTAGCTTAGTCAAAAACTTAACCCTTTGTATACATTTTTAAAGCTCTGACAATTTCATTTTTTAGCGTCTTAAGAATTGGGAAATCAGAGAACGAAAGAAAACTCGGGAATATGAGAAAGAGGCTGAAAGAGAAGAAGAACGAAGAAGAGAAATGGTAATATTCTAGTTATAAATATGTGATTTTCAGATGTAAATGAGATCAAATTTTTACTGTTAACTAAAAATAACTATAATTAAATTATCTGAGCTCCCAGTATAATTTTATTTTCATATATTTCAAGTAACCTTGAGAGACTTTAAGTACACCAAAATCTTTTTCCTCCTGATTTTTACATTTTTGCTATCTATAAACAAAACTATCTTTTGGCATACGTTTCAAAGTAAATCTGTCAGAGTAATATATAAAATGAGAATTTATACAACATTCTCTGATTAAGAATCTGCAACATTTTTGAATTTGAAGAGGCTTTGATACTCTGTATCAGTCAGTACCTTTGGAAGGAGGAAAGAGTGTCATGAGAAGACCTCTGGTTTTATAAATCAAAATTACTGTCTTCTGTATATAACATTTATGGATTATAGTTCTTCCTTAGATTATTATTCTTTTGACTATATGATAATCATAAAAAATACGTCTTGTTTTTCACATTTGCATTTCTTGGTAAACTATAAAAGTGAAGCAATTGGTTTAGGTTGTTAGTAAAATGAAAAAAATATATTTTATCATAGTATTTGTTTTAGTAGTATGTTCCATGTGTTCTGTCTTTGCCAGAATTTCATGAAAGTTTCTTTATCTCCAGTTTGGAGATTATTCTTCCAAAAACTTCACTGAAGTTAGGAATCTTCTTCAAATAGCTTTTGAACATGAGACATAGAGGGAATTTTTGTAAGTAACCAAAGGGTGCATGCAGCAACTAGATAGATAGTATGGGTGTTCTGGATAGTACATCCACTAACGTCATTGAATTATTTAAAATACTTTATTTCTCTGGATTGTAGTTGTTGTTCTAGAATTTCTTTTTCATCCATAGGTTAGAAAGTAGGAAAATAACAATATAGTAAGAGACATAATTATTTGAAGAAATGTTTGCCACCAACAACATTGTGGAATAGATTTGATGTGATCCTGCTTCCTACAAGCAAATCTGAAACCTGTCTTCCAGTAGAAAAATTCCTATTATTTTTTGTTTGGGGACTTAAAAAAGCACAAAAACATTTATTTGCTCATAGTAAAATGTTCAAGTAACAGAAAATCTGATGTAAAAAGTGAAAGTTTCTGCTCTTCAAGAGTGGTAACTTAGGTTTGTTTTAGTGTTTACCTTAGGAGTCATCCTGTGTTTTATTTTGACATTTGTATTGTCATTGCTACTTGATAGTCTACTTTTATTCATTTGACAAATTTTTAGTGTACATTATATCCCATCCTTGTGCAAAATACTGGATATATAAGAATAATGTTTCTAATTTTGAAATCTGGGTATATTGTCAGAGAAGATACTGTAGCACATGTGAGAGTGTTTAAGGTATGGTGAAGGTGTGTGTATTCACTGTATTTTGGAAGTGCAGAGAGGCTCTCTGGGGGAGGAGTTGGTCACAGAGGATTAGATTGGGGAATTCTTTAAAGAGGTAATACATGAACTGGATGAATTGTGTTAAGATTTTACTTTAGTCAAACCTGCTGTTAACCTGCTTTGTATATAGATTTTGTAGCTGTTGATATAATAGATATAGATGTAGGTTATATATTTATTTATACATATATAATTGTTAGGTATAACTGCAATTAAATATAATATTGTATTTAAAATTCCAAAAATAGGAATAAGAGGTTCATGTACTTTCATGCTTTGTGTACTCAAAGTAAAACAGGCATTACCTTAAAGTTGATGCATGAACATGATTTACAATTTTCATCCTACATTTCTCAAAAACTACTTGTAGCATCATTTACCTGCAAATGAAGTGTGTAAAATATTTTTTTGTTCAGTTAACAGATTCAATAAGATAACTTTCAGTTTTGTTTCTTGGTGTGCTCAGGTTTCATTAATTAGAAAATACTTACTGTACTTTGAAGATTATATTGAGAGAGGAAATTTATTATAGCATACTATGTGTGGTTTTATTTTACAGATGCGTCCTAAATCTGACTTGTCTTATGAGTAAAAGACAAAAAATATATACTGTTATGCACATTTAATATATGAAGTATATGAGAATTATAAAGTTCAAGTGGTATGGATAAGAAAAATCTGTTCCCAAGAAAGGGGGAGGGTGTAACCTAAAAGACTTTTATGTTAATTTTGCACTCTTTGTTCTTCATTTCCTCAAAGGCAAAAGAAGCCAAACGACTAAAGGAATTTTTAGAAGATTATGATGATGATAGAGATGATCCCAAATATTACAGGTAAAGAATCCTTGCTTTATCAACTCATATTTTCAGCATTTTTTTTTTTAGCTCTATTCTTCCTTGTCTACCAGAGTGCAAGTTCACTTAGCACAATAAAAAAGAAAGATACCAGAATCTTCATATTCTATCTTGTAATCACCCCCGTAGTTGATAGCGCTGTTTTGGGGAGAATGTTTGGGCAGTTGGGGAAGTAGCTGTTGCCAAAGGATCGACAATTCTGTGTATCTGTGTATCTTTTCGGTGTGGGGGGAAGTCCATAATAGTATTACAGATTTTCATTCCTTTATTTTAAAGATGTCCAGTTTGTAAAGCAAGTTATAACTAATCTTTATAACTGCCTCAGGTGGTCTAGAAATTGTTGTCTTCAAGGCTTTCAGCAGTGCCACAGAACAATCCAAACTCCCGTACATCTCCTCCCTTGCCCAGTTGATGTATTACTGTGAAGTGAGCATTGGTGAAACCTTTCTTCCTTCATCTCTTTGTTCCCATGGCATTTCTGAACTACTTTAACTCTAGCACTTATGTCGCTGGGGTAAACTGGTTGGTTTTGTTCTGCTCCCTCTACTCAAACTAATTTCCCTGAAGATACGGACAATATTTTTAATTTGTAAAAAAATCTCATGTATCTCACATGGTCCAGGCATTTGATATATAATTAAGTTTAATAAACTGGAGCCAAACAATGAAAACATCAGAATTAGTAACTTATTTAAAAAAGTCAAAGACTTGGTTTTATAGAAAATCCAAGAAATGTAAACTTACTAATTCATGAAATAGCAGAACATAATTCAACATTCTGAGATAAATTAAGCTTCTAGTTAGAGAGAACCTCTGTTTTCTATTGATTCTGCACTACTTTTTTTTAGAACTTTTTTCCACAAGGAAAAATTATTTTACTTGAAGATACAGCGCTATTCTTAGTGTTACCAACTACTTGTGTTAACTTTTCACAACTTGGCATCCAAGAGCACAAGTTACGTGTTGGGGTTTCCCTGAGGAATAGGCACAAAATGAGAGCTTTCCTTCTTTCTGGAAGTTACTTTTCTGTTTTAGATAGTAATTTAAAATGACTTAACAATGAGGCGTGGTGATAAGTGACAAGACCGTGCTCACTTGTTAAATAGTAACACGTAGAGATCACGATGTCTTGGGTGTTCTGCAGATAACAGAACATTGAGAATCTTCAGTCCGTTAGCATGCAGCTTTTAATATTGCAAGAAAGTGCTTTTGGAGACCTCATGTGCAATTGTTATTGATCTGAGTATTGAAGATGGCCTGTTACGATTTTCTTTTGCAGAGGAAGTGCTCTTCAGAAAAGGTTGCGTGATAGGGAAAAGGAAATGGAAGCAGATGAACGGGATAGGAAAAGAGAGAAGGAAGAGTTAGAGGAAATCAGGCAGCGACTTCTGGCAGAAGGGCATCCAGATCCAGATGCAGAGCTTCAGAGGGTGAGTCTCTATAACATACGTAACAGTACTCTTTTAAGATTATCAGATCATTTAAAAAAAAAAATTTTATTGTTTATTGGAGTGACATTGGTATCATGCCCTTTTAAGTCAACTGTGATGTAGTTTACTTTATAATGGAAATATACTTTTATGCTTCATGAATCATGCTATTTTGGGGAGATCATTAGTACTCTTCCTCTGTTGTTTTACACAGATCATCAATTGGTTTATTTTTAAGTTTAATTATTCTAAATATCTTCCAGATGTCTTATTCCTTTATTTTTGTGAATACTACTTAAGTTAAATGAATATCTTTCAATGAAATTTTGCTAGAAACCTCTTTCTACAATGGGCTCTTGTGGTTTGAGTTTCCTCTCTCATTGACATCCCAAATTATTTTATTTACAAAATAGAGATTTTGTAATAAACAGCTTGTCATTTAAAAGGAAAAGATTGTGTCATAAGACATGGCATACCCCATGCTTATTAGGAAAAAAGGAGTGTCACTTTTAAAAGTTTTTAGTTCATAATATATCTAATAATGAGAATGTTCCATGAATAATAATGTTCTAAACTCTTCCTGTCAACTTTAAAAATCTGTTAATGTGCTGTTTGTTAACAGAAACCATGTCTTCTAACATGTCCCTTTTATTTTTCAAAATGAAATAGTGTTCTTTTTCTGTTGATAACGTACTTAATGAGTAAATAGAAAAGTTCAGACAACATGCAACACAGTAAGGAGAGTAAAGACCATCTGATTTCTAATAGCCAGTTATAATCATTATAAACGTGTAGTTTCCTTTTTAAATGTCACCACAAAGGTATACATATACCCCACTCATACATAAGTTTTATAAGTGGAATTACAATTTACATGCCATTTTCTGATATGTTTTTAAATGAGGTATACTCTTCCACCCAGAATTTTACCAATTTATAGTGCTTCTGTTTTTTTTTCATACCTTCAGAGCATATTATCAGTCTTTTAAATCCTTACCATTGTAACATTTAGGTTAGGATGTTTTTATTTTTTAATTCTCTACCAGTGGATTTGAAATTTTATGTAGTTTAGAATATATATATATTTTCATTTTTTTGGTTTCATGTTGAGAAAAAAATATCTATTTAAGTTTTACAATGGTCTTATTATTTTTTATTATCTTTCATAATATCAGGGTTTCATTCATTTTGTTATAGACCTTAGAGTCCTAAATTCCCTCTACCTGCTTATATCTTTCTTTTGTTCATGAATACAGAAGTGACTACCACCCTTAGCCATTAGCTAGGAAGAAGAAATGATAGCATATGACCATGCTGAGGTTTTGAGTTGCCTCTTATGTATTGTGTACACTGTTCTTAAATAAAAATTCTGGTTATAATTTCTTAATAAAAATTAAAAAAATCATTTTTCATTTTGAATCAGCTATTATATATTTACCTTTGTAAATCTGAAGAGTATGTACAAGCCACTGAAGAATGGTAATATATGTAAAATATTTTTAAAATTTTGCAGCCCTGGCTGGTGTGGTTCAGTGGATTGAGTACCAGCCTGCGAACTAAAGGGTCGCCGGTTTGATTCCCACTCAGGGCACATGCCTGGATTGTGGGCCACTTCCCCAGTGGGGTGCGTGTGAGAGGCAACCGCACATTGATGTTTCTGTCCCTTTCTTTCTACTTCCTTTCTTCTCTCTCTAAAAATAAATAAATAATACAAATAAAATCTTTTTAAAAAAATTTCACGGAGTACCTAATATACTTTACAGATTTACTCAGCTTTCTGACTGTAGAAGTAGGCAGTGTTTCACTATCCCTAATGAGAAATAAAAAGAGATTTTGTGAAGATAATATAAAACAAAAAGCCAGTTGAATTAAGTATAGCTGTGGTCTGCTTTATTTAATATGATTGTTTTTGGTTTTAGATGGAACAAGAGGCTGAGAGGCGCAGACAACCACAAATAAAGCAAGAACCAGAATCAGAGGAAGAGGAAGAAGAAAAGCAAGAAAAAGAAGAAAAACGAGAGGAACCCGTGGAAGAGGAAGAGGAGCCAGAGCAGAAGCCCTGTCTCAAACCAACTCTGAGGCCCATCAGTTCTGCCCCATCTGTTTCCTCTGCCAGTGGCAATGCAACCCCCAACACTCCTGGGGATGAGTCTCCCTGTGGTATTATAATTCCTCACGAAAACTCACCAGATCAACAGCAACCGGAGGAGCATAGGCCAAAAATAGGACTAAGTCTTAAACTAGGTATGTTAGCATTTCTTCCATTCTGCTTTCTCTCCCGTTAAACACCTAAGTTTTATCTTAAGGAAAAAATAAATGTGCTGCTTGGTAGGTAGATAGAAAATACTCAAAAATGCCTTCCTAGCTCACCATTGTTTTCATAGTTCTACTAGTGCTCCTATATCTGCAGCTGCCTCAAGTTCTGAGAAGAAGTGAAAAGTTTAATTTTCTAGCACTTGTGAGTAGTGAGTTATTTTTTATAGTTGGGATATTTCTCTGAGATTTGTAGAAGTATATTTTGTATTGCTTTTGAGGGGATCATGGGTTGTAAAATGTAACATTTTAAAATTACGTCGTCATGCTTATACAGTGTTTTTACTATAGGTGCTTCCAATAGTCCTGGTCAACCTAATTCTGTGAAGAGAAAGAAACTCCCTGTAGATAGTGTCTTCAACAAATTTGAGGATGAAGACAGTGATGATGTACCCCGAAAAAGGAAACTGGTTCCTTTGGATTATGGTGAAGATGATAAAAATGCTACCAAAGGCACTGTAAACACTGAAGAAAAGCGCAAACACATTAAGAGTCTCATTGAGAAAATCCCTACAGCCAAACCTGAGCTCTTTGCTTATCCCCTGGATTGGTCTATTGTGGATTCTGTGAGTAGCAAATCATTGTTCATCATTTTATTGGAAGTGGTTTTGAATATAGCATACAAAGTCAGTTGATTCTGTTAACCATAAGTAGGGATGATAATGTGGCTGGAACCTCGACATTGAGAATTTAGTAGATTGTTGGGGAATTGGTGGTGGTACTTGAAGTCTTTATAAATTAGAAGCAAATATATGTCGATTTATGTCTGTCTTAGTTGTGAATGATTCTGTTTTATTATTATGAAAACTCACAACGTTACAGGCTTTTTTGTAAGTACACTTACAAAAATCATTTCAATTTAGTAACCATACTTTATTTTGCAGATATTGATGGAACGACGAATTAGACCGTGGATTAATAAGAAAATTATAGAATACATAGGTGAAGAAGAAGCTACATTAGTTGATTTTGTTTGTTCTAAGGTTAGTCTTTTTCTTCCTTCATTACCGTTTGTTTTATACTGTAAAATATTAAGATATGTCATAAAATGAAGTGTCTTGAAGAACCAAGTCTGTGATAGTTTAGTTTTATTTAAGAGATTCTTGGGTACTTAAATGAATCCCTGCGCCCTGTTTCAGCTCCCTACACCACATGCTTTCATTTCAGATGGCCAAAGAGGACAGAATTGCAGGCTGCTGCAAACTTTGCTGTCTCCCTGTCCCTGAGAATGCTTTTGCCACTCCCTTTTTGTCTTAATGTTTAGAGTGATGCTGTAGTATACAGTTGAGGAGGTTTTGTGGAGACAGCTGATAGCTTGCCTTATCAATTTCTTTGTTAGTCATCCATCCTTTGGTGGAGAAGCAAAGTAGTTCCCTTATATAGCATAATATTTACTGATTGATTACTATGTGCCAGGCTTTTTTCTTAGCAGGTACTGTGTTAAACATTTTATATAACCTTATTGTCTTGAAATCCCCTAACAATCTTAGAAAGAGTAAGTTACTAATATTATTTACATGGCAGATGTTATAGTATATAGAAGCACCATATTCTGCAAAGGTATAACTAATTACGTTTTGAGAAATATTTTTCTCTGTATTTTGACATTAGAAATAGCAGGTTTAGGTTGCTCTTTCTACTTGTAATTATTAGAGCATTAAAACTTGGAAGTCTGGATTTGAATTAGAAGATAAGATGCTATGGATATTGAGATCCCAGGTTATAGTGTCAAATTTCCACTGAAGAAGTGGGTTTTGGGGAATTGAGAAATTTATAGAAAGATTTTTCAGCTACAAGAATTTCCATACTCTTTTGGGGGTATCCTAACATTGCTTGACTGTGTTGCTATTTGTTTCTTTTCAAAATGGCAATTACTTGTTTCTTTTAGGTTATGGCTCATAGTTCACCTCAGAGCATTTTAGACGATGTTGCCATGGTAAGTCAGAAATTCATTGTTATTGATAATCTAATACCTATGTGAACAAACTCACTGCTGAATTTGATTGATTTTCTAACTATGTTGGTTCCAGAATCTTTTTATAGGCCTGAATTAAAATTTGAATATGTATTAAGAATAGAAGGGCTCCCACAAGCAAGATGTAATAAGATATCACTAAAGTTAGGGTTTTTGTTTTGACCAGTCTCTCCCTTCTTTCATTTTTCATGTTTGTGTGTATAAATACAAATCCTGGACCTATTGATACATTTAGAGAACGTTTATTAAGTACTTCCTGGGTAGAACAATGTATTAGAAGCATAATAACATGGAACATCTACTCTTGAACTATCAGGGAGACAGGTATACCAATATTGATAACCTAATATACTTGCTATAATGGGGATATGTAAAAAGGGGCAGAAGAAATAGAACATATGGTGGTGTTGAGAGTAGTTAAGGAAAGCATCACAAAAATTACCATCTAACTTGAGACTTGAAGATTGTATAACTGTATCATCACTTGAACAGGTAATGTTGGGTTGAAAGTGGTCAAATATCACATTCCTAATTGCATTTAATTTGGATATTACAGTAGAGTCAGTAGCTGAATTTCTCTAACATTGTGGTTTTGTGAGAAAAGGAAGGAGGAAGAGTATTATTGATGGCAATGGTGAGAGTGTGACTGAATGGACTGTGAATCCCCAGCTAGGAGGGGAAGGAAATGCTGTTGAAACAGAGCTGGTGGTTTGAATGGGGACTGGTCCAATGAAGCTATAGTCAGAGAAGAGAATGTTTAAGAATACAAGTGGTGGATCAGTCTAGATGATGGCAAGGTGCCAAATATGGTCATGGGACAGTGTTTCTGGGGCAGAGGGATATCGTTTTTTAGAATTACTTCAATGAACTTTTTATTTTTATTTATTGAGTTTTACAGGGAGAGGAAGAAAGAGCAAGATAGAAACATTGATTTGTTGTTTCACTTATTAATGCATTCATTGGTTGATTCTTACATATGCCGTAACTGGGGATTGAACCTGCAACCTTGTTGTATTGGGATGACACTCGAACCAACTGATCTACCCCTCCAGGGCTGACTTTAACAAACTTTAAGCTTGCGTCATACACATAGAATTTGAAGTTATTGCATGTTGGGACCAGAATTGGAAAGAAATATGGGACCCAGCTGCCAGATTGCTCCTTTTAATGAGGATGAAAAACTAGGCATTTGCTAGACAGCTATTGTTGGGGTGAAAGGGTGCTGTAGTGCAATGTCATGAACCTCAGTGGAGATACTGTTTTCAAGGATGGAAACAGTGAAGATCCAGCAGCCTCCCCATCCCTGTGGAGACGGATGCTTTGAAAGTGAGGAACTTTCTGAGAAGCCTGTAGGAATGTCAGGGTCTTTAGGGGATATTCCAGGTTTTCAGTAAAAGTAAGGAGATGAAAACATTAATGAAAGAAGTTGAGTATAGTATGGCTAGCATAAAGTGGAACAGGAGTCCAGAGGGCAGAATGGGAAGGCAGCAATGGGAAGAAGAAACATCAAGCATGATACAAGATGAGAGGTGACTGGGGGATCTTGCATCTTGACTTAGTAGGGAGGGTGGGGCCTACTGAGGTGCCTAACCAAAAGGAGCTCTAAAGTTGAGCTATTTTGTGCCCAGGCACTGTACCATGTCTAATGCCAGGAAACATGTTTTCTGTGTCCCAGCCAGCTCGATGGAGCTGTTGTCGGGTTTCCAGATAAAACGTTTGTGAGATGTATGTTAACTCTATAAAGCTGAGCCTTAGATGAAAGGACAAAATCTGGGGAGAGAATCTGAACTTTTGTGACCTTTCAGCCTCTTTAAAAGGTTTTCCTTGGGGTAGAGAGAGGCTTTCTTTCAGGCTTAGGCTGGAGTTAAGGAATTAAAGAGGGAGTGGGAATCAATGTTCTAGTTTTTGGTCTTGTTAGAGTTGCCATCACTGTCAGTGCCATGTGTCAGTGTTAATTCATTTTGATCTGTTGAAATTTTTTGATACTTGGAGTGTTACTAGATTCATTACCGCTTAATCACTTACATAGTTTTGATTATTTTCTGGCTCCTTGTTGATCACAGTGGGAAGAAGGAAATCGCTCATCTAGTGTCAACCCATTTTGGCAAAAGCTCATGGACCCTCTAAATATTTGTTATGAATGAGATCAGATTTTTAGCTCAAGTAGTATTTTTGCTCTTAATTAAAAATAGGACTTTTTCAAATCATGCCTTTCCTCATTTTACATAAATTAATGAACTTTGCATTTTGTGCCTTTATCTGTATCTTCAAGGTATGATTTTCATATTAATTAGACTTGCAGCATGGTTCTCTTGAACTACTTACTGGTCAAGTCTGGCTCATAAACGCTGATTAAAAGTTCTTTATTTGTCATCATTGAGAAATTTAGGGAAATTTTTCCAGAATAAAAGTTTCTGGCTATTCTTAGGCACTTACTGATCACAGGCACTTACTGATCATTTAGGTATTAGTCACTTTTCAAAGCACTTTGTATGCACTAAATATTTAAAATTATGAACCAGTTGGATGTAGCCACTATTTTCTTTTTATATAACCCTACCAAGGACATGTAACTAATAAGATATAGAAGTGGCATTTGGACCCAAGTAGTTTGGCTAGAGATCCGGTTTGCTTAACTCCTAACTTAAACTGGTATATTAGACCACAGATCTTCATGACAGTGATACACCCTGAAGCTTATCATAGATGCTTCCGTAGAAGGAAGCATGATACTTCATCTCACCTCACTACAGCCTTGGTATAGAGGGCTGACTGTATGTGTTGTTGGATAAGGGCAGGGGTAATGGCAAGGACACGATGCCCAAGTTGTATGTAAATAGGAAGATAATTTGATTTATTCATTTGCCAAATGGATAGGATCTTACATTTATTCAGTAGTCTTGTGTCTCTTTGTAGTGACAGCAGTTTTCCTTTACTCTTTTTACTGTATCCCAGACACTATTAAATGCTTTTCATATATTCTCATTTAATATTTAATTCAGTGTCACGCACACAAAGACTCCATAAATATTTAGAGTGTAAGATTGTTTTGGGGGGCAGTGCGATACTCTGTATGAGGTTATTATGCATTTGGTAGTTCTGTTTAAATTACTATGTTCTTTATAACAAACATTTGCTTCCCTTAGAAACTAGTTTTTCAAAACACGTATATAAATGTACTATTTATAAAGATAAAAGTTGCATCAACCCCTGGTCAGGTTGCTCAGTTGGTTGGAGTGTCATCCCATGCACCAAAAGGTAATGAGTTTGATCCCTGCTCAGGGCATATACCTAGGTTGCAGATCTGATCCTCAGTTAGTGCAATGTCAATATTATAAGCCATGGAATATTGCTGAATGCATTTCTTTGCAGTTTACATGTACTACTTAATACTCTTCTCACACTAGACAGATTTCCTTCATTTTATTGAAAGTAAATGCTTGTCTGTGGGTAACAACCCTTTTTATACCAATCGCTATTGTTATGAGATGCTGAATGCTTATCTTACACATTACTGTTTTGTTTTGTTTTGTTTTGTTTAGGTACTTGATGAAGAGGCAGAAGTTTTTATAGTCAAAATGTGGAGATTATTGATATATGAAACAGAAGCCAAGAAAATTGGTCTTGTGAAGTAAAACTCTTTACATTAAGATTTCCATTTCAGATATCTTCTTTCCCATCCTTCAAAGGACTTTGAAATTTATTTTTTTTTTTTGTCTTGAAAGACATTTGTGAGACTTGTAATTTTTTTAATGTAGAAAATGTGAATTTTTTTTCCCTCCAATTTGTTGATGCCCTTTGTAGTCCCTTGGCTGTAAAGATATCTGAATCCTACCTTGGTTCTCTTTATACTCACCAGGTACAAATTATTCATGTTTTATAAGCCAGAGCTGCTGTACACAGCCTATCTGATATAATCTTCTGCTGATTTGTTCCTTGTAAATATTAAAATGACTCCCCAATTCTTTTGCAGAATTGCACTTAATATTGAACTGTACTGTATAGGAACCAACATGAACAATTTTAAATGAAAGAATACCAGTCACACCTATTGCCCTTTCCCCATAATCAGAATTGGCAAGCTTTCATGAAGGCATGAAATTTAAAATTACAATGCGAAAATTAGGCTGTCCATTCCTACTGTATCTTTGTATGAATGTGTTTGTGTGAATGTACATATAAAAATTTTTGCCTTAGTTTGCTTTGGAGGGCTTCCTTCAACATTTTCTAATTGAAAAATATGTAATTGTAAAGGAAACATGGTATTGTGCCAATCAAGATGTCTGGGATATTTAGGTTAATAGTCTCCCAGAGCATGTTATTCTCTTCTGGCAAGCAGCAAGCAGTCTTTTGAATGGAATAGGGTTTTCCTGTTGATAGCTGGCTGCCTCAGCCTCTTTTTTAAGGGAGTGTGAATCAGTGGTTTCCTCCCACTCCCCTAATTTCATTGTTCAGAAATGAGGCAGATCCTTAGATTCTGAAGAGTTTCATTTAATGCATTTTGCACAGATTGGTCCTTAGTTTAACTTGGGTATACCCCATTGTTTAAAAAAAAAATTCAAAAAGTATAAATGAAAAAGAACTTTAAAAACAAAAGGTAAAGTTAGGCAGTTTTACAGAGTAGGAGAACTTGACCAAATACAATAGGATTTCAGCATGACATTTTACAAAACTACTTATTTCTAAGGATAAAGTAAATCATTTAAGGCAGTTACCACTAATTTTTTGTTTCTGCTTTTGTTTTGTAAAGGGTTTTATAGCTTGTGTATGTATATGCAAGCACACACCTTGTTTGTCTCTACTCATCAAAGTTTAAAAATACATTGGTGGTGGTAAGAGACACCCATGTGGCTTTCTTTATTGTAGATCAGAACTTCACCAGGGAGCAAAATTACCTTAAAATGTAACAAGTTTTAAACAGTTCTTCACACAAAGTAGGTGCAGCTATTCCCATGTCTGAGTATTTATTTAAAAGAAAAGTAAAGATTGGGAATAGAAATATAAAGCATAACTGAGCTTGAGTTAATAGTTTTTCTACATCTTGAGGGGACATTTAAAAACATTGTTCTTAACATTGGACCATGACATGGTTCCATTATGTAAATATTTCCTATATTAAAAATGTATATATTTGATCTTGGGGACTCATTCTTTTAGAGTCTTATTAAATAAATGGCATATTGTAATTGTGCAGTGTATACTAGAAACTTGAAAATACAGACTGAATTGATTGCTCTGAGTATTAGTAGCTAAAGGTCAAAGAGGATATTTACCTTATTTCGGACTAATCTATATGTCTATGAAGATATCCCCTTTTAGTGTTTTAATATTTTAAATTCTGGTCTATCAAGGGAAATTTCAGAAATATGCTCTTTGCCATTTACACATTCATTTACTAGCCTTTCTTCAGATTGACCCTCAGCCCAACACCTTGTTCAAGCTTTATGATGTCTATCTTCTCTTACCATATTCCTACTACTAAGGCATCTTACTAGGTTATTTTTATTTAGTCAACATTGGCATGAAGGTTTATTCACATAGATTTAATTTCCCTTGCTCCTGCTCTTTCACTATATTTATCTTAAAGGGCCTGTATCTGAAACTCTTGGGAACACATACTATGAATACGTAACACCTCTAGAGAGATTTGCCTCAGAATCTAAGTTCACACATTAACGTTTCTGCAGGAATGATCGTGGTTACTTGGTTAAAGACCATTGCATAAATAGCTTAATGTCCATTGAAGTCAGGTTTTGCCACTGAAGCTTAAACTTGAAGGTTTTCAGAATTTCTTGTTTTTCAGATTTATAAAGAATTGGGCATGGATAAACTGGTGTCTGGGAAACTATACATAAGATTTCTGCCAAATTGCTTGAGCTTTCTGGGTTCTTTTTACCATTTGCCCATAGTTTGATTTCAGTTTGGAAACCTTGGTTAATCCCTGTTGCCCATTCGAGTTATAAAATTATGTGAAAGTTCTGCAGTTAGAGAACCAATATGCTTTTTTCTCATTTGACCCTGTAAATAAAATAATTTAAAATATGTATATCTGTTCATAGGAGGAAAGATAAGTTATTTGAAGGTCTTTTTTCCCCCTCAAACTTGAAGGCGCACCTGAATCACCTGGAGGACTCTTGATAAAATGCAGACTCTGATTTAGTCGGACTAGTGTGGGACTTGAGGTTGATGATAAAGATACCAGTGCTAACTGATCCAAGGACTACATTTTGATTAGCATTTTAAGGTATCTACTCAGTAATAGTATTTTATCTTAACAGACTATGTAAATGCAGCTTAATTTTCTTTTTAAGTAGATTTTAAAGGGAAAACCATTTTGGGGGCAAATAAACCTACCTATTCTGTATATTCATGATTGTAAAGTAATCTCTTCCACAAATGATGTCTGAGAACAACTCTTAATATTACAGGCTTTATTCCTTGCCAGTCCCAGAACATTTCCTTCCCTAAAGAACTTTATGTTGTTACTCTGAATCTTGTCATCGTGCTTTCTGATAAACTTTATGTAATAGTAGAGGCTAATGATTACTTCGTGGAGAGTGCTATTTCAGGTACTCATGAAGCACAAATACTGGATATGGTGGACAGAGTGAGAAAACTGGGCTTGAGAGTCCCACTGGACTAAACATGTGTATTTTTTTTCTCCTTTAATATGGAGTAAAAAAAAATTTTTAATGCAAATAAATGTAAGCAGGTACACTAATTTGTATATGAGGCTTATTTACCCAACTTTTTTTTTCAGATTTTCTTTGTTATTAGATGGGAAGGGAGGGAGAGAGGGAGAGAAACATCGATGTACAAGATACATCAGTCGTTGCCTCTTGCACGCCCCCAAGTGGGGACCCAGCCTGCAACCCAGGCATGCGCCCTGACTGGGAATGGAATTGGCAACTTTATATGGTTCACAGGCAGGCTTTAGTCCGCTGAGCCACACCAGCCAGGGCCCCAGCTCTTTCTAGTGAGTTCTGTGAATGTTTCCTCCTCCTATCCAAAAACAACTGATTTTATGTCAAAATGGTTACAAATTTTTCCAGTCATATTTTAGTCTCTTTCTAACAGTATGAAATTGAGAAGTAGTTTTTGCTCAGCAAAAGGTGGTGAAATTGGTTTGTGAATGCTACTAGGATAGAAAGGATATGAGAAGGAATCCCAAATAGGCAGTGGTGTAAAGAATACTTGGAAATTCACATGTGTTTCAAACTCTGGATCTCTTACTACATTCATACTGTAGGCCAAAGTGAACTTAAAATTTTTGACAAGTTGGTAGATTTTAAAAAATGTGGTTATGTTAAAATACTGAAATATTTGCTTACTTGCATTTGAGTGGTTCTCTTTTCATCCATGGCCTTTCATTTTATCACTTCACTCATATGAAGGCCAAATTAGGAATGGCAATCCAAAATGTCCAGGAATGAAAGGTAATTTTTGTAAGTAAAAATGAATAAAAATTCTTACCAAGCCATGTTGTTTGAATGAAATGACAGTCCCAAGTGCCACCACAGGTATTACTTGGGTGATGACTCTTGCGCACAGAGTGGGAGCTAACCGTTGAGCAATCGTATGCCGGACACTCAGGTTCCAGGATTACAAAAGCAAGCCATTTTCTGCTGTTTTGACGAACCATTTAGGAAGACCGGTTCTTAAATTTGGAGCCAAAGAATCCCAGACGTTTGTTTAAAATACAGTTTCTCAGTTTCTCTTCACCCCCCCCCCCCCCCCCCGGAAGTTTTGATTCAAGTAGGAAAGGGTGGAAGGTACAGGTATTTACAGTTTTTTAATTAGCATCCTCTAGATTGTAGTGCGGCTGATTCACATTGAGAAACGTACAAAAGATAATGCAGAGTGAAAGACGATAAGTTTAAGATGCCATAGCTTTGTAGGCTGGGAGAAGCACACACTGGGCCCAGTTTTCTAGGTACTTTGATCCGGTTCAAGAGCTGCCTCGGATCCCTGACGACTTGCAGACTCGTACCGCGCACTCTGAAGTGGGTTCGCCGGGTTCCGGCTGGAGCGCAGTTTTCCCTCGCTATCCTCGGGCACCACCGGAAGCTCCGCCCCTTCCCTCGGCCCTGCTGTGCCCTCTCTCGGTCCCACCCTTCTGCCCGTAGGTGGGTCTCTAACGTCGCCAGAGCCGGAAGTGACGACACTGGTGAGGACTGGGGCGGGGCCTGGGCCGAGCAGTTCCAGAGCCCGAGATTTCACATCGGAAACAAAACAGCCGCTGCTCACGAAGGAACCTCCTCGGCTGCGAGCGGGCGGCGGCGGCGAGGGAGGAGTAGGTGCGTGATGGGGGAGTTCGGAGAGAGAGGAAAGCCCCCCCTCATCCAGTGTCGACACGGGCGGCCGTGGACCCGGGCGGCCCTTTGTCGCCGCCTGGGCCGCGGAACCGGTGTCCTCGAGGGTGAAGAGCGGGGCGCGGTCGGGCGGGGACACCGAAACTCCTCTGGGGAATTAGAGGGGCTGCCCGTTTCTCGGGTTCCTGGCACGGCGTGTGGTCAAATTGAAGAGAGAGTACCCTTCAGAGTCTTGTTCCGGAAGTGCTGGTTTCCCGAAGATGTCTCAGGGCACAGGTGCTTTGGGCCGGGATTGACCGTCTAGAGTGGAGCAGGATGAGGAAGGGCGTACCGCCGAACCTGGCTGAGCAACTGGTGAAACTCCACGCTTCATGCCCAGTGTGTCCTTGTTCAGGGAAAGTGAATGGCACTCAGGGCAAAGTTCCTTATGCCTCACATTCGCGGCGGAAAACAGGATATGATGCTTTTGCATTGATCGGCATTGTCACAGGCATGTGTATGTCCGATGCTTTGGCACGTGTCTTAGATACTTGCGTTTTTCTTCTCGCTCACATTCTTTTTTTCTTGTAGGAAAGTAACAATAAATTTTAAAGCATTGCCTGCCTGCTTTGAACAAGATGAATTAAGTATTCAAGGTTTACTATGAGATACAAGAATAGTGTGCAGATAACTATATGGCAGAGCATACTCTAAAGGTCACAACATTCGTTGAAGTTTGAGACAGAGATCTCATCTACTTAAGGGAATCTTATTATTTGAGTTATCTTTTGCAACGGAAAGGTTTTCACCCTTGGAGTTGACGTGGGGAGGACGGTGTAATCATAAGAGTGTCCTGCAAACTGGTGCCCTCTGGATCTTACCACACTGTTATGAAGGGAGATAAAACAGGAAAGTAGATTGGAGCTTATTGCATTTGGCTAATTTCAGTCAGCTGCAAAAGCCTACTTAAGTTCTCAACTCATTTATACAGAGTTCAACCAACTTAAGTCCCACCCCCACCACATTTAATAACAACGCTTTAACGAAAAAGGGAGTCTGTTGAGTGCATGGGTTCTCCCCCAGACCCTTAGGTCCCCCCACCCCACCCTAATTAATGGACTGTAGAAGTAGTATCTATTATGTGGTATTTCATTCTCCTACTCCTGGTTCTTGGGTAGACAGTTCCCACATTGCTGGGTTACTTTCCTCTGAATGGATTTTAAGCTAATAGCTGCTACTGGTCCTGCAGTTCCACATGAATTTGTGGAGAACCTGAGGATTAGAGTTGGTCTCTGAGAATCATCCTAGCAGGAAAGATAGAACATTTGTCAGTTACCAAAGTTTATGTGGTTCTCTTCCTCTCAAATCCAGGCTCTTTGCTCATTCTCTCCCACTATTTATCAGATTGTAGGGAGAGACTTCTTTCAGATGTATTCTGAAAAACTTTTCAAAGACCTCTAATACTGCTGCTCCTTCATGTGATAGATGCCAGGCAGGTTTGGAAGGTGATTTGAAAATGTGGCCCTGTTGTGTTCAGAGCTTTGCTTTGGACACCTTAATGTGGTAGTTGGGGCTAGAATGGATAAGAGACTTGAGATGACGTTGCATAATCAAACGAGATATAATGAGAGTTTGATCTTCAGTGGTGGCATAGGCTTAGGAAGGAAGAAAAACATGAACAAGACATGGCAGCCAATTGAGGGGGAAATAATAAAATATAAAGTTGATTAGGAGACTTGAAGTTTGGAGAAGGAGAAACAATTGCAAAAATAAGGAAGTTTGAGCAAAGAACTATTTTAGAGAAGAAGATGAGGAAGTGGTTTGGAAATACTACTTTGAAGTGCCAACAAGTAAAGATGTCCTTTGGACAGGCGGAGCTGTAAACATGAGAGTCACTCAAATAGACTTGCCATTTGATGTTGAAGCAGTGGAGGAGACATCCTCCACTAAGGAAAGGGAGGGCACAGGAGACCCAGGCAGACCCAGGAGACCCAGGAGACCCAGGAACACATACTGAGGGGGTAGAAGGAGGGTGAGAAACCAACCAGCTGGGGAGAATGAAGGGAGGAAAACCTCTGTAGTGCAGCGTCACAAAGGCTGAGGAAGGGAGGGAAGGTCCAGGAAGGAAAAGGTTGTCATGGATTTTTAATATTAGGCCTGGTGTAGCAGAAAGAACTGAAAATTTAGAGCATCGCGGTCCAATAAAAACATAATGTGAGCTACAAACGTTAATTTTAAATTTTCTAATGAACATTTTTTTAAAGGTAGAAATAGGTAAAATTAATTTGAATAACATTTTGTATAATTTAGTACATCTAAAGTATTTTTATTTCAACATGTAATTAATATAAAAAGGTAATTGTCTGTCTCCCCTCTAGATAGTAAGCTTTTTAAGTAAGTAAAAGCATTAGCTGATTCAGTAGCATTCCCAGTACGTATCACAGTGTCTGGGTATGTAGGAGAAACCCAATAAGTGTTGATTAAAGGGTATAATGTTTAGTTTTCACAATGTCTAGTACAGTTTCTTAAGTTGATCTAAAACAAAAGAGAGAATGCAAGCATTGCTGGATGTATAGCCAGTGATTGACAAATGAATTAGATGTGAGTAGTCATTTTTTTTTCCCCATTAAAGATAAGATGCATTCTCACCATTTCCACAGTGAATTTGAGACAATGACTCAGGGTAATCATATCTTTCATGTAGAGTTATTGAAATAAAATGAGGTTTTTTGGGGTGGGAGGTGGGGGATTCTTTATAATTATATAAATACTGATAATATAGTTTCTATATCCACAATTCTGAAATCCAAAGGCTCTGAAAAGACTGAAAGGCTTTTCATAATTCATTTCACAGCAAAAATCTAACCTGAATCTATTTATGTAATTTAAGACTACTTATATGTTTCACTAAATATTTATTAATATGTTTGATTTTGAGTTCTAAGACCTGGAGGCAGCCTTATAAAACATACAGTATTTGCACCATATTAGTTTTATAAAATCCAGGGTTGGGGGGTGGGAATTAATTCTAAACACATTTAGTCCTAAGGGTTTCAGATAAAGGATTCTGGATTTGTGAGTCTTTGTTAATTTTCATTGCATTGTCTGAGTCCACATAACCACACATAACCATTATTATTTAAAAACAACTGCAGTAACTATACAATAGGCTTCTCTAAAACTCACTGCCTTGGAGCACTCAAAGCTCTGCTTCAAGGTATAGGTCTGGATCGGCTAGGGCAGTTTTGCTTTGCATGTCTTATTTTGGGGCCAGGGCTGAAGGGACTGTGGCTTGTGCCACATCTGCTAAGATCTCATTGCTCCAAGCGAGTCATATGATTGTACTCAAAGGTACGGCGTGGGTAGTACACTACACCCACCTTAAGGCCAAAGCAATTCAGAGAGTCAAGCCCAACATCACTGGAGAGGGGAAGTGTATTTCTCTCTTGGGAATGCTGGGGGAGGGAGTGAATATTTGCTGAATAATAATCTAATCTACCACAGATGGTTCACAGAAGTGGAGTGGGATGGAAGGAGGGGGAAAAAAATCAACAAATAGGCTATATTACTATCCTTGCTCTTTTTAGAGTCTACCACTTTCAAAAAGTGTCCTGTAGGGCTGGGGAAATTATTTGCTCCTAGTTTCTTAAAATTCAGAGGAATCTTTCCAGGACGTATTCCTGAAAATTTTAATTTTAAATTGTTTTTATAAATTTTGGAGATTGGTCATATTTATTGTTGGTTGTGAGCTTTTGAAAACAAATAGAGGCTCTCCAAACCCATCCATATAATGAGAACTTGTGCTGCCTGTCCAGGAAGAAGCTGTCAAGGTAACATTAAGGCTGATTAAATACTTTTGTGGAATAAGAATAAATTACAAGCTCATTTGACACTTGAAAACTTCTTAGCATTACAATACAAAGATACTTCTAAAAATATTTTTGGTGGTTTTCTAAGTGAAGGAGAAACTAATCCAGTGGCTAGAGTCATTAAAACAAGCCACGAGCCCTTTGCTCTTCAGAAGGTCATGATAAAAAGTCTCCATGAAGATGTTTGTTTCTGTGAAGTACAAATTATGTTTACATTTATTTCTGAAAGTGAAGAAAAAATGCTATCAATAATCAAGTAAACATGCTATAATAGTTTGAAGTTTAGTTGTTACCTGGGATGTAGTAAAAGACAGAGATGTACTTATAAATAAAATTTTTATGTATTGATTTACTTTAGAGAGAAAGGAAAGGAGGGAGGGAGAGAGAGAAACATTGATTTGTTGTTCCACTTATTTTTGCATTCATTGGTTGAGTCTTGTATCTGTCCTGACTTAGGACATCCGGAGGATGCTCTAACCAACTGAGTACCCGGCCAGGGCAGAAATGTACTAGGCTATTGGTGCTTCCTTAAATGGGATTTTTAATAAATTTATTTTGCAATTTTCAACATTGCTCCTGAGATACTTTTTCAAGTGTTGACAGAAGGTTCTCTGGTTAGACTTTTCCGTTCAGCACTTCTAAGGTTCAAGATTACTTGTATTCTCTCTTTTTTAGCCTCTTTGTGCATAATAGAAATTGTAGTTGCCCATTAGAAAAGGATTTCTTTTTCCTTTTTCTTCTTGAGCAAGTGTCTTGAGGGAAAGGATAATGGATGACAGTGAATTCAAATATGCTTTTTCAGTCTCAGAAAATCTTTAGCAGGTGGCCAGAGAGAAGAAACACCAAAATCTACTTCTGTTCCTGTTCCCACTCCCTCTGCAATCCAGGTCATATACAAGGTTCTCACTCCCCAACAATTATCTTTTTTTGTTCTCAGGGCACTGCTAAGCATGTCATAAAGCCCAGTAGTGTCTTTTGCCATGCTGCCTGAACAGTGGGGTCATTGGCCTCCTCCATGGAGTCATCAATTGTTTTCAGCTGTTACTGGACCAGAATCAAATCTGGCATTGCCTGCTCCTTTCTTTGTACGAACAATGTTTGTTTGTTCACCAGGCCTGACTGAAGACCTAGATTAACCCCGTTGCCTACCTCCTCTTCCTACTGAGTTCCATGTAAAGAGCAGCTCTTCTGCGGAGGGTTGCCCTGTAGCATTTTGATCTTCAAAGCATTGGTGGAAGCCCGAGATTTCTCTGGCTGGACTGGAAAAGACCTGGATTGGGCATAAAGGACCTCGGTTCTAGAACTGGTGATAGTTCCTTCATAATCATGCACTGGCAAATTTTTTCACCTTTCCCAAACCTTAGTTTTTCACATGTAAATGTGATGAATGAGCTTTTGAAATCGTATTGGAATATGCTAAAGTGACTCCTATATTGTTTACTCTTGCAAGATTTTGTCTGCAAAAGCTCTAGTATGATAATCAGTTTGTATGGTTTGTTCTAATAGCTGAGCAGCTCCTATAGCATAAGGCTAATATGGAAACTATTTATAGTAAAATGACCATATTCTCATTATAGCTTCTTTTTTTTCCTTTTAATAAATACTAGGACTGTATATTAAGAGTACTTTGGCACTTTAGTTTTTTATTTGTACGTAGACCAGTTATTGAAGTATAAGGTCTCATTTACTATTTTTTCTTAAAGATCTCATTTACTTCTAAGTACTAGTTTCATTATTAATACTCATTGTGTCTTGATGCTTATTGTTGTAAACTCCTAAAGGGGTGATGGTAGAGTTTTACGTAGAGGCAACTTAGTGTAATACGTGAGCCTTGCTTACTGGATATGACCTTGAGCAAGTCAGTAAACTTCTGTGTGCCACATTGTTTTCGTCTGTAGAATGGGTAAAGTGAACATAACTGATTAATTAAATTTTCTCAGTCACCGTCTCTGTGTTTTGATATAAGTAGATAGCCAGTAAACTGCTATGTAGTGAATAATCACTTTTCCTCTCATTTTTACCTATAGGTGCAATGCACTTTATTTCTTTTTGCCTGCATTGTTCTTTCTTGCCCTTTGCTTCTTTCATTTGGTTAACACTATCTTATTTACTTGTTGTTTTGTTTCTGAAGGATCATACCAGAATATTAATGACAGATTTCTAACGGGTTTTTTTTTTGTAATAGAGCTGTGCTTTAAATGATACGGTATAGTCTTCAGAGCAGTCCATGGAGGTAATCAATTGCAACTTTTTCTCTGCCATTCTGTGGCATTTCTGGGTTAGCTGAGGTAATGGGTGCTGTACTAAATGTTTTGTGGAAAAGAAGAGAATGCTATATGCTCTTTTTGCTGATCATTAATGCTACCTTAATGTTAAAATTTTAATTAGTCAACTTTTAAGAATCTAGAAGCTTAGATCAGAATATTTACTTTGAATACTTAGAGGTAGATTCCAAAGAACAGTTATATTTTCTCTTTGGGGTACACTAGCACACATAGTGCCAAGGCTTAGTTTTATCCATTTTAAAAGACAGGTTATTAATATGAATAACCCTAAATATAGGCTTACTCCCACAAAAATCTATTTAAAATTTTAATTGAAGTATATAGAAATGTGCTCACAGATCATAGTTATATACAGCTCAGTACATATTCACACACTGAAACCCTGTGTAACTAGTACTGAGATCAAGAAACAAAACACTACCAATCTACTCCAGAGCTTCCTGTGTACCCCTTTCTAGTGAATAACCCTCATAAAAGTAATCATTGTCTCTAGTTCTATTTTATTTTATTATTTAAAAAAATTTACAATTAATTATGTCTTATTTAGTTGATATTAATTTGCAGTTCCCCTGTCCCATGCCAGCTAACTACAGTCCAAAATCGGAGGGGAGGAGAAAGGAAGGCATGGTATACATGAAAGCATGTAAAATATAAGGGAGAGTATACCTTTGTTAATAATTTGTCATAATTTGAGTGAGCCAAATATAGGTTACCGAGGGTTAATTTGAGCTCGATAGCTATACTCAATGAAAAAGTTACTTTAATGTGTTTTTTATGAAAAATCAGTGTAATAAAAAAATGGAGAATTCAGGGAGTAGAAGATCCTGAAAAGTGAAATGAAATAGGATGTTGACAAAATGCTGTCATGTGAATATGTACATGGTAATGTTTTAGATGCTATATGTGAATTAGAATACTGCTAAGGTATGCAAAAAGATTTTTTTTCCCTTTTATATTTCTAAAGACTATGAAAAGGAAAGGAAGGTTGGCGTCATAAAGAATTGGCTGATGGAGATTAAGGTAGACAGGCAAATGGGAATGTGGCCCCCGGGAACGTGAACTCTGGGAGGCAGAGTGATACATGCAAATGAGGCTATGCTTGATGCAAAGAGAGACCTGAGAGGCTGGGAGTCAGGAATTTTTGATTTTTGTCCTCATCCAACCAATTGTGTGATTCTTAATCAAGCCACTGAACTTGGGTTTCCTTCTGTTTTTTAAAAATATGTATGTTACCTGTTTACCCTGCACTGGGGCATTGTGGTATTGTGGTAAGGATCAAATAAGATGATAGAGAGACTTGTGCAAAATTAAAAGCACTAAACAAATAGTTTAAAGGAGATATTAAAAAGTAGGTTGGATGGTCAGCATAGGAAAAGAAATGTTAATGAGAACATTCTTTAAGATTATTCAGTTCCCTTTGCTCTAAATCTGAAATCATTAAGTATCTTTGTGATTGAAAATATTTGGTTTCTCAGATAGATCCACTCATTACCAAAGAGGTGTCTTGAGCTGATAAAAGTTTGTCAGTTGCAAGTCATGGCAAAGTAATAAATTTGTGGTTTACAGATTGGTCTTATAAATATTTGATTGGCATGAACGAATCTACTAGGATTTGATCAACTCTGAGTGACTTTGTAAAATCCTATTTCAGACCATATTCGGGAAAGAGTCTGCAAGTGACAGCAGCCTGTGAGGTCCTTAGAAAGCTTGGCCTGGAAGAGAACACATGAAAGAAAGGTTTGTTTTTGCTGAATGTAATTTATGAAAGTGTTTAAAAATGTATAATTGTAATATACAAAGGATTGTGTTTTTTTCCCTTTTTCAGAACCCCAAGAGGCTTTATTTTCTGTGAAAAGGCATTTCTGTACAGTTGCTCCAATGACAGAGTTACCTGCACCCTTGTCCTACTTCCAGAATGCACAGATGTCCGAGGACAACCACTTGAGCAATGCGACACGTAACCAGGTACAGCGTCAGCCTCTGTAACTGCCTTTACCAGACTGTGGATTCCGTGATCACCCTCCTTCACCTCCAGAAGAGGCTGAGGGGGCTGAGCAGTTTCTCAAGTTTACCAAAGTCACATATTTTCTGAACTTTAACTGAGGGCAAAGCAGTGTACCATTTGGTGCTGAGGACACAGGGCTAGGTGAAGCATGGGTACTGTTCATTCATCTCTGGCTCAGACATCACTGCCTCCATTGAAGCCTCTCCAACTCCCTCAGCTGTTTATTATTTTACCTTTCTTGCTCTTAGTCCTCTATAGGCTGAGTACATTTTATTTACTTTTATTTTTTCAGTACCTAGTATTAATTCCTTACAGCACCCAGTAAACATTCATTGACAAAATGCGCAATGATAAAATCAAAACTAAGTGTAGAAGTCCTAAGTGAATTCAAAGAAGAGAATCAGGAATGGGTTGTAACCTGTGACATGGGACACAAGAGACCTCGCTGGCTACACAACAGCGTCATCAGATCTGCCTGCAACTGCGAGCTAATCATTACAGATTGAATTTGGTTTCCACAGATAGCCTGTGAGATAGGGAGTTGGTAGAATTTTTAGAGGCGGAGCCAGAAAGGGGGAAAACACAAAGCCAATTATAAGCCATGCAGGGTGCATGAGGGCTGGGGAACCAGACTTTCCTGTATTTCAACCAGAGGGCAGATCCAGTGGTGGAAGATACCAGGAAACAGGTTCTGGATCAGTAAGAAGAATTTTCTCACAATTATTTTGGGGGCGGGGGAACCCCTGCTCCCCCAAAATGGAATTATCTTGTGGAGGGCCGGGCCCCTTGTAGTACAGGCTTCGCCGGCTAGGTGAGTGTTCCAGGGACCCATCTGTATCAGTGTGCCAGCCGGTGTTGTGAGAGGCTGCATTCAACTTCAGTGAATTTTTTTTTGAAGACTTCTAATGCATTTGCCCATTTCATGATCAGTGATTTATGAGCTCATCTGCTTACACTGTGCTGAGTGTTCAGCAGTGTTTGACCAAAAACAGTATGACCCCCACGCCTGTACCCTCCCTATTCACCCAATCTTGTCCTGAGCAACTTTTTTTGTTTCCCTGGATGAAAAAAGCCTCTTAAAAGGAAACATTTTGCTGATATAGAAGAGGTGAAACAAACAAACAAAAAAAACAGAAGCACCAAAAGGCATCAAAATCAGTGAGTTCAAAAACCGTTTTGAGCAGTGGAAAAAATGTCCTGAAAGGTGTGTTGATTGCATCAACTGGAGGGTACTTTGAAGGTGACGGAAGTTTAAACATGTAAGAATAAATACACAATTTTTATAAATTTTGTTTTTTTGGGGGGTGCCCTGTATATCTGAAAGAGCATTGCCTGCCTCATGGGCTAGTGTGTGCTTGTCATTTAAAGCAGTCACAAAGGCTGAAAGGCTACCAAAATCTGCAGAGGGTTGGTCAGTGGAATGAGCAGTGACCTAGAGCACTACATGGCTGGGAATTTCCCTTCACACCCTGAAGATTTGGAATTCCAGTTGAGGCTCAAAATGCGGGGAGGAGAGCTTTACAAAGTAGACTATGAGGGATGTGTAGGATTAGAATAGAGCAAACTGGGAGGTCATTACTGAGAGACGAAATAACACTAGTAGGGAAGAATTTTCCTAAAATGTAAATTGACAGGGAGATCACAATCAGAGATGACGTCAGCAGAGGCAGATCACACTGTATTGCTAGAATATTTTTAATCAAGTGAAATCAAGTTAAAATAAATATCAAGGGAAGCCCTGCAAGGGAACACAAACTGTGAACATGTAGTATGTACCCTGAGAGCTGTGTGAGGAAAAAGGGAGGGACTTCTCACCTTGTCCCTTAGTACTGGGTTGATAAAGGGGTGTTACAGAGACTGATTTTTGTCGCAGCTCATTGGTTCCTTTGATATGTATCAGCAGCTTGATTTACTCTTTTTTGCTGTTGCCTAGGAAAAGCTTTCTGAAAAGCTAAGATGGGGCTGGATTTTGTGTGCCATTCTTTGGATACAGGGTGTGAATGTTTGGATGCTATAGACTACTCATTTGTAAACTTCAGATGAGGGGGAGGAAAAGTGGGAACAGCATGAGTCAAGTCTCTGGGTACCTTTTCCTTAACCAGAGGAGCTCCTGTTTTATTTGTTTTACATATTAATCCCTTGAACAAAAGATTCCATAATTTAAAAGTTTTGGAAAAAACACAGTTATATGTCACTCATTTGACCCAAACCCTCCAAGGGCATCTCATCTCAGAATAAAACTGGTCCTGAGATCTTAACCTTCCCTTACCACCAAGCCCTCCCTCTCTCCTACGCGCTTACCACCCTCCCCCTCATTCACTGCATTCTCAGTTCTGCCTCTGAGCCCTGGGCTATTCTCCCCCTCTTCTCAGAGGGCTCCCTTCACTTCCTTCAGGTCACCTGATGAGTCACCTCATCAGTGAGGCCTTGCCTTCCTTGACTCCCCTCCTTTTTCTGTCATCTGGGCCTTATGCTGCTTTTTGGGGCATAGCTCTTACTGGTATTTCTAGCACACTGTTAACTTGGGGATTTGTTTACCTACAAGCTACTTGAGGCCAGGTACATAATCTCCCTTGCTGGCGCCTGTCTCCCCAGCTTCAAGAACAGTGTGTGGCACTCTGAGCTCTCTGTTGTTAATGTAATACTGTTTATATCCCTCACATCCGGGTTTTGTGGGGCTTTTATGGTATTATTTTGCTGCCTTTTTTTTACACCTTAGTGCATAAATAAAATATCCCCTTGAAATAAAAGGTGCTCTAGAGGAGGTTCAGTTGACCTAGTATATTTATTGATAACTACACGTGTTCATGGTTTAGTTTTAGCAAGTCTTAGAGAGCTGTTTTCAGTGGTACCTTCCAGATCTATTAGGACACCACTGTCCAGAACATCAGGGCTTATTTATTTAATTTTGACTCTGCTATCAATAATGTGAGCTCAAATAAGTTTGTCTTGTTTATCTCCTTAAAAATGCCTTCTATAACTTACAAAGATCTTCTGTATACATTCTCATACTTTCCAGTTATCATGGGCTAGATATTATTCCCATTTTACAGTTTAAATTCTTGTTCAAGATCACAGAAGATTAAATGACAGACATGGAACTTAAAAGTGTTTTCTAATTTCAAACATGTTCCAGTATTCTTTCTGTTCTTCAGATTGTCTCTTACCTCTAAAAAATGTAATACTGAAAGGATACACTGTATGAAAAAAAGTTCTGAGGAAGAAAAATAAGAAGTCTGTATTCATTTTTGCACTGATGTACTTTTTTAAATCCAAAGAAAGAGGAAAAGAATCTTAGTTTTTTAGCTATAAAGAAGCCATTGTATAAGTATATGCTTTGGTTGGTTATGAAAAAATGGGGGTAGCCCCAAATTTAAACTGGACATAGATGACTGTTTGTGGATTAATTAAATGAAGCTCTTTTATTTCTCCTTTTGGATAGTGGATTTGCTTAATACAAGAACATTACCTGGCTTTTTTTTGGTAGTTTGTGATCTATTGTAGTTCTGTGGTTTACTTTTACTGTGCCTATTAAAATAATTTGTAAGGTTTTATTTTTCCGATGTAAAATTTTTATGGGTAGAGCTCTTTTTTCTTGACTAGTCATAATTCTTTGCCAGAAGTCAGCTTCCATTTCATTTCTATTGACACTATGGGAATATAGTAAAACTAGAAGATATTGAAAATATAAATTTTAGAATAGTGAGAGTTTGTTTTGATTTGGTATAGACTCACATCACTTACGTAGATTAGCTGAGAACTTTCTGTTTTCCTAAGATGCAAAAATGTGAATTTTTTTCAAGTCTAAAATTCATTTATATTGTATATTAGAGTAGCGGTTTTCAAACCTTAGTATACACTGCACTCCCCTGGAAGAACTGTTAATACAAATTCTCTGGCCCCAAACACAGAGTTCCTGATTTCATAGATATGGGGTGGGGCCAGAGAATTTGCATTTCTGACCAATTCCCAGATCTTGCCAATGCTCTGGTCCAGGGGCCATAGATTAAGAACAATTATACTGAGTAAAGAAATAAAGGGAATGACATCAGAGAAAAACTATTCGATGTATAAATTGAATACTCAGTATTTTTATTCATATTATTCTAACCCTAATTTTCTAGTCCTTAAGGAAATCATCAATACCTCTTTGATTTAGAATGGAAAAAAATCAGTCATTTATTTGTTAAAAAGAAGCCTTAAAGTAGTAATCCATGGGATGATCAATAATGATTCTCTATATAAAGTAATTGTTGAAGAACATATATAAATCCATTATCTTCAGTTGCTGAATTAACAGCATTAAAATGCGTCTGGTCTTGCCCTGGCCATTTTGGCTCAATTGGTTGGATCATCATTCCGTAAACCAAAAGGTCTGAAGTTTGATTCCCAGTCAGGGCACATGCTTAGGTTGCAGGTTTGGTCCCTGGTCAGGGCGTGTATAAGAGGCAATGGATTGATGTTTCTCTCTCTCCCCTGCTCCCTTCCCCGTCTCTAAAATCAAGAAGCATGACCTTGGGTGAGGATTAAAAAAAACAATGTGTCTGGTCTTTATAAATGAAGTCATCTGCAATATCTTTTCTAAATTCAAAACCTGAAATGCAAATAACTTGATTAAGTTGTTAGCAAATCATAGACTGACAGAACAAACTCATTTTCTAGATGATGATGGGTCACTTTAAGTGTGAGAAATCCTAATCTATTTAAAGTGGTGTTTAAGTACTTGGGACCTTGAGGAGAAAAAATAATGAAAAGAGTGACCTCAGTTTAAACTAAATTAGGTTCACAGGTCCAATCAGCCTTTGATGGTGTTACTGTACTGTTTATAGTAATGAATTTGTTTTTCTAGTTATGTCAAAGCAAAGTAAGGAGAAAAATAACTTAAAATCTTGGTGACCTCCAGAGGAAAATGCTTGCTTTGTATGAGAGTCAAGTCAGAAATCTTTGGCACACATCTTAA